AGATTTTGCTCAATTTAAGGCCCATCTGGGACTACACCCTGTCCTGCATGAGCAGATGCCACACCTGTTTTGGTCTTTCCATACTTTTGTGAGAAAATTTTTTCAGGTAATCTTATTATACGGGAGTATCTATTAAGATTTAAACTAGATGACCTCTCAATTTCCTTCCAAGACTCTATGTTAATAGTTCAACAGAAAACAGCCTTATACAATTATTATTAGCTTAAAGCTCTGCCTTTAACTATGCCTGTTAGAAACTGCTGCTACTTCTTTTTTTAGCTATTTCTCTTTAGTTATTATTTCTGCTGATTCTATGCTTTAGACATCTTGATAATTTGCATATATAATGAATAACCATGTACTCTGTGACTGGTAGAGTTACTCAGTTCAAATTTAAATCTATATACCTGTAAGCTGAGACCTGCCTATAAATGAAATAATGATGGGCAAGTATTTAGAAGATCTTGCCTCTACAATGCTTCAGAGGTACAAGTCCTTTATGAAAATGTGAATCAATAGGTAATCATATTTCTTAAAATGTAAACTATTAGTTCCGCTTCTAAATGAAACCATGCTCAAGGACAACTCAAAGGCCAAAAGCTAAATATTTGTGCAGGAACATGTGCCCATCTGATTAAAGTTGAGGCTAAATTTTGGATTCTAGGATTTAGAGCTCAAAGTAGTTTTAGATATCATCTGGTCCAGCTCCTAGTCATTTTACAGATGGGGAAAGTAGGACGTAAGAGGCCTAATGACTTATCCAAGGCACCACAAAGAGTCAGTAGCAGAGCTAAGAATTGATCCCAAATCTCTGGTTCAAAATACAGTCTTCTTTACACTATACTATGCTATCTCGAGGTGTCAAGAATAGATAAGAATATAAGAATGGGCATATCTTTCCCATATTTCTTTCAAAAGAAGAATGTGTCCTTTTAAAACATCTTTGAAAAAATGCATATTTATTAATAATAATAAATATAGATGCTATTTGAAATGTGTATACAAATAACATTCATTCTTTTCTAAAGGCACATATAAGGTTTTATAATTTAAAAAAAAAAAAACTTTACCAGACTCACATAAGATCTTACATTAGGTAAACAAACCACCAAGAGCCAAGTTAGCATAGAAATATGTCACCGATAAGAATCGATGTTTTTACCAAAAATAAAATCAAAACAGAAGCCCACCTTGCATACTATCACCTGCATGGACAAACACTTTATTCCAACATGTCTGATACGGATACAGCTACAGTGGTTATCTCTTTAGACTTAAAAGATTATGGGAGGCAAAGAAGAGGTATTGAATTGTAAACATAATTTAAGCACAATCCCAGAGCATTGCAAAGAAATAAGGGATGATGCTACTTAAATGATGAAAAGTATAATCTAAAATTCTAAGTAGCCTAGGGTTTTAGCTGCTCAGACCACAGAATATTACAATCAGAAGAGATTAAAGGTCATCTAGAACAACTCCCTGATTTTACAGATGAAGAAACTGAGGCCCAAAGAGGTTAAGTGACTTGTCCAAGGTGACCCTTCAGGTGTTTCAAAGCCAGGATTCAAACCCAAGGCCCGACTCCAAATCCAGCATTGTTCCTACTGTGGGGTTGCACAGGCAAGGACTGTCAATCCTAATTTATAATTGAAAATCCAGGATCAAGAGAGGTGAAATGATTCAGTCAATGACTCAAAGCAAGGAAGGACTAGGACTCAGGAGTCTTAACTTCCTTCTGAGCTATGGGATCTGTAAAGAGTTTCTTCTCAAGGGGCAAAGACCTTTCCCTTTACAAACCTCTCTGCAGTAATTTCAGTAATCTTCCCATTAGGATCTGTTTTGCTTGACATGAGTACTTACTCCATCTGGGCTGTGGACTGTTGTCATTTATTCATCCTGAGCACACCCTAGGCAGCTTGGTACGTGTCCTGGAGGAATCAATAAAACCCTGGGGGGAAGGGGAGGACTGGGAGAGTCAGTGGTATCCACAGAGCATGACACATCAGCCCATGCTAGAGACACTGATGCTCTCACCATCTGCAGATCAGAAACGCCTAGCCACACCACCCAAGAGCAAAAGGAGATGGGTCCCCTCCAATCAGGTGCTTAAAAAAAAATCATACGTTAATATGTATACACGGGTTATGTCTGTCTCTATGTCCACAATTAGGGATTGGGGATGGCTATAGATCAGTCAGTGCCAACAGGTTACAGGACTGAATCAAATTACATTGTTTTCCATTTGTTTATCCTGGTGAAGTATGGCTCAAATGGATACCATGAGTAACTTTGAATAGAAAGAAATGTCACACAAAGACAATGGGGGGGTGGGGAGGAAAAGAAGGGGAGGAGAGTTTGAAAGGTGGGAAAGAAAAGGGGGGGGACAGAGAGAGAAAGAGAGAAAGAAAGAGGAGAGAGAGAGAGAGAGAGAGAGAGAGAGAGAGAGGAAGAAGAGAGAGAAACAGTTTCTCTTTCCTGACAAAAACCCAGCTCAAGTTGCCCTTGTGAGAATCCTCCTCCAGGTCACCTAGGGTGTCCATTTGTGTCAATTTTGACCTGAATGGATGCATGGGACATAACATGATTTGCCCTAGCTCTAAACCCTCTGAGGACAGACTTACCTAGAGTTGTCCCCAAATGCCTAATTGTGGATTCAGGCTCTTACTATTTTCTTTTTTCCTCAGGAAAAATCAGATACCTCCAAAAAACATGTGCCTATAATATCCTCTTGCCCTCTGGATGGTTCCCAGTGATGAAGCCAACCCGAGGATGTTCAAGGGGGCGCTCGAGGAACTGGCTTTGCTGCAGTGTCTATTCTAAGATGGCCTGAAGTTCAGCAATGACTCAGTAACTGACTGAAGAAGAGGCTTATCATTATGGGAGCTGCTGGAGTTGTTATATTAAAGGACAAAATATTTTATCTTCCAGTCAATTTTCCCTTTAATATATTGTCTTTGAAAACAGCAGCCTAGTAGTGAAAAAAGCCCTTCAGGCAGGGGCCTTCGATTCTAGTCTAAGCCCTGCCTCCATCTAACGCTGTGACCTTGGACAAGTCACTTCCCACTCTGGTTCTCAGTTATCCTCTCTGTAAAATTAGGGGACCAAAGTGGTTGGCTGTTAAGGTGCCTTTCAACACTAACATTCAATGAATCCATAAGACTACATTCTGCTTGAAAATTACATTGGGAGAACTGTTTGAAATTAAAATATGTTAAATATTATGAAATGCTAGGTGTGACAACTAAAACAATTTGTTCAGATGGACTAAGCTTCTTTCCTTTAATAAAGTCTTCCTTCGGTGCTTCCTCCAGGGGGAAGATGACCCTAGATATCTGGAACTATATCAGTAGTGCAAGCTCTGGCAGACCTTCCCCAGGAGCTCAAGGACAGCCCCTTCGACGGACTCTGTGTCAGCTATCCAAGGACCAGCTCAGCCAAGTAGAGAAAGGCTCATCTCTTGAAAGATGCCACCATATGGTAAGATGGTAAGGTTTTTGGTTACAATTCCTAAGATTTGAAGAGGTCTCTAAATGTATCACTAGAAGAAGTTCCCACATGATGGTGCTTTCAGACTACTATAGGATGACTTTGACATCAAGGGACACATTGTCTCAGGGATCATAAAAGCATCTGTCTAGTCTTACCAGGATCTTTTGACCCTTTTAACCCAAACTCATAGTTAGAGATTTTCAGCACTCTGCTAAGGCAGCAAAGAAACAAAATCTTCTTTACTTGTAAAAGGAATAAAAACAGTACAAATTTTCCAGAGGAACAAGAATTCAGAATGAACCCTTATTCACAAGGTAGTCTGGTCTTGTGCACATCAAATTTCTCATTCTTTGAATTCATGTAGCCTCATGGGCAATTTAAACAAAGGAGAACACCTGGTAGGTTCTTTCACTTACCAGCCAACATCTATTGGTTACTAAGGACTGGCAGAGGCAACAAACTGAGAGAGTGATACTGGCTCACAATGTAAAAAGCAAAACAGGAGAAAAAGTGGATCAGGAATGACCAAACAGGAATGATGCCTTCTACCAAGTGGTCTTCATTGCCAGGAATAAGGATGTGCGCTGTTCTCCTACAGCAGTTTAGAACACAAAGAGGGGATAGAGGAGCCTGGAATTTCATTGATTATATCCCAGATATGGCAACTGCCTCTCCCAACGTGGGTCAGTTACTTCACTGAACCTAACGGTCCTAGACAGTTGTCTAGAGCACTAAGGGGGAGGCTCTTTGCCTAGGCTCACAGACTCAGTCAGCATCAGTGTTCATTGAGGGTTGAAGGGGGGGGGAAATGTCAGTATTTACTTTTTTCCTCTCTCCACCTCTCTCTAGCCTCTCCACCTCCATTACTTGTGTTTTTTTTACAAGTTAAGCATAAGAAATGTTCCGAGAACACATGAAGCACTCACTATGATGGGTTTCCACTGTGGCATTCAGGATGATAGAGCACTGAAATCATAAACCTTAGTTCCCAAAGTACCAAATATACTTTCAGACAAGGGTTTATCCATTAGGAGAATTGGCATCACATAAGTTTTAAAACAAAATAAGGGGATATCTTTCCCAAATTATAGTTAACTTTACATTATAATATGAAGACGAAACAGCGACAATCTGATGAAACTGGGAACTTTCTGTTAGATACAAAAAACTGAATATCAAGTTGATATAAAGATTATAAGAAACTCTTTAAAGCTTTAAGAAAAAGAAAGGAAGGAAGCTCATAGCAACCTGGGGTTACTTCTAAAAGGAAAGGCTAATTAGTCTAAATTCAATATTACATAACAACAACACAAGTTTATCCACCTACCTCATGGGCACAGAACTACTGCAGCAAGAAGCTTAGCTTAATTTGGCTTGACAGGCTGAGTCAAAAGACCAATAAGACCATACAAAATGTTTCATATCACTAGAACAAAATGGTTTCCTATGTTGAAGTTCTTTATTATGCTATTTTTACATGGTAACAAAGCCTCTCCATTTTTTTCCAGCTGAATATACATGAATACAAAAAGCAATTGTTTTTTTTTTTCTTTAGGTTGGTAGGAAGTTATGACCTATAAGAAGCCTCAGGAAATAGTCTCCATGCTTTCCTTTTTACTTAACTCTATGGCTCTTTTCAGTCGTCTTCTTGTTGATTTCTTTTCTGTCGAAGGAAAACAAATAATACATTAAAAAGTATCTTTTAATGGAGATATTTGTGACATTCAATTAACTCTTTCTGCAAAATGAACACACTCTTCCAGAGGCTTTGGCTTTATATATAGTTAAGAATTATCATGGAAAAGATGGTGCTATCTTGTTGCTCTGGTTCCTGAACAAATCAAGCTTGATTCTTTCCATACTTCATTCCTCAGATATAAAAAATGCTCTTCAGTAACAAATGCAGAAATATAGAATTACTGACATCCTAACAGACCAGAATTTACTTGTATATTGTATATTTACTTGTATATGCAGTACAAGTATTGTGAAATTTTAATCTAAGAGCAGTCAAACAGCTAAAGAAGGATGGAATGAAAGAAACAATTAACATTCATTAGATAACTTCTCCCTTCAGCTGATTGGGAAGAGAAAGCTTGTTTCTATTTATTCAGCATTAAAATAGGAATCACAAAATTTATTGAAGCTATGGCATTAGATACTTAATAACAATCTAAAAAGCTAAGCATTGCAGGACTATTTTCTTAAGCAGACTTGAAAACAAAAATTATTTGCTAAAAACTTGTTTACTTTACCAGTTTTAGAAAGTCTATTAGTTTATGAGCATCTTCACCAGTGGAGAGGTCTACAAAATCTTTAGGTAGCCGGTAACTCAGGTAGGGACTTGGTTGTACTGTAACTTCACTGTTTGTGCAACGAAAGGCTGGAGAATCCTTTAAAAATAAAAGATTATACAAATACTGCAAATTCAATGCCAAGATTATGACTCTATGTGCATTTGTTCAGAGTTCATTCATTTCACCAAAAAACAGTCCAAGACAAAAAAAAAATCAACCTTTCCATCCCAATTTCTTTCAGTGGTACCACCTTTGTCCCCTATCTTTAGTATGTCATATTAAAAGCAAGTGGAAATCAGATTCTGAAATGAAAAGGATTCCGAGGTGTACATTCTCTGCTGAAAAGTAACATTTGCAATTACCTAGTATAATCCCCTTACTTGATAAACAATAATAACATTTATATAGCATTGTGAGTTTTACAAATCACTTTACATGTATTATCTCATTTGATCCCTTACAACAACCCTGTAAGGTAGGTTTAATTATTACCCCCATTTTACAGATGAAGAAAGTGAAGCTGAGAAAAAGTTATGTGACTTGCCCAAGGTCACAGATATTAAGTATCTGAGTCAGGATTTGAATTCAGATCTTCCTGACTCTAAGTCCACTACTCTGTCTACTATGTCACCTCTCTGCTTGGGATGAGGAAATTACAGCCTAGAAAGTAGGAATAACTTGCATAAGATCACATGGCAAGTATATGGTAAAACCAGAGCAGAATCTAAGTTTCATCACTCCCAGTCAAGTGTTTTTACACTATACCACACTGCCTTCTTATATATACCATATAGCTATACACATATACACACACACCCCATAAATACTACATATGTGTATATAAACACAATTAAGTGAACAATACATGTTACACACACACGCACACGCACACACACACACACACCAATAAGCCAATATCTTCTGACAAAGCAGAGATATGCTTAGGCTATAGAGAAGGGAGTGAACAATATGGACAAATAAGTGATATATTAAGAGCATATGTACAAAGTAAGTTATGTTGCAGTCCACTCAGTACTATCCTTGAAATGTGAAAATTATGTCATTATTTTTCCAGTAGTTATGATGGATTTGGGCTAATCCAAATAAATCCTCCTTTTAAAAATCTCTTAGGATCAGCTATATCCAACTGTGATATGCTCTCAAGGGACAGAAGTAAAATAAAAGTGAGTGAAGTGAAATGGCCCATATGAGGAATGTCTTATCAAGTAACCAAACACATCAAATCAACTCTATATTCTATTAGCAGAAGTATATCACTCAAATTCATTTGCCATAAAAATATATGAGAGAAATCATACTTCCAAAAAAAAAAAAAAAAAGAAAGAGAAGCTGATAAATATCACATAAAAATAGGTACACCCATTTTTCTTGGGAAAGCACATTTGTATATTTGTAATGGATTTTGTATTTCTTGCCTTATCAATGGGTGGGGAAGGAAGTTGAGGGATAGAGAGAATTTAGCACTGAAAATAAAATAAAACTGAGTAATAAAAATAGAGCTTTTGTATGGGTGGGGAAGGGAGTTGAGAGATGGAGAGAATTTAGAACCGAAAATAAAATAAAATTGAGTAATAAAAATAGAGCTTTTGTACATGTAAGTATAGGACTTAAATAGTGGAGATAATAGTTGCTTTTCAAAGTTGAAAATTACAAAGAATTTGCCGTATTTTCTATTTGTTATATTTATTGTTACAAAAGAAACATATGTTTCATAATTCTACTAATAAAGTTGACTTGACACTAAGTATAATTCACATAAGGGCTATATTTCTTTCTTAAACTCAAATCATCACTGTAAAATTATTTTGATAATTGAACAAGTGTTGAAAGAACTTCTGGCCTTTTTACTGACCTTTGGACAAGGTTTTTGGCCTCGAGCTATGAAGTTTATCTGAACTTGTAGATAAGATGGAAAATATATATATATATATAAGTAAGAACCTTTAAAAACATTAGCAAGAACTTATTTAACTTAATATTTACTTGTGGTTCTCTATTAAAGGAAAGGCCAAGACTTACTATGAAAACATTTTACCAAAACCAAGGTATTCTTGTTTTTCTATTGTTTGCTTTAAGAATCTCCAGATTCCAACTGAGTCATATTAAAAAAGGAAGTGAACTTCCAAAATGAAATTTAGAAGTAAACTTATACAGATGAGGCAATGCATTCTGGGTATGAGGGAGAGCCCTTTCAAAGGTATGAGATGTCACATGAAGTGCCAGGTCTGAGGAATAAGAAGAGGCCATCCTGGCTAGACTGTGTAGAATGGTTGGAAAGGTGGAATGGGGCCCGGGAAGGCTTTAAATGCTAAAAAGAAGAGATATTAGGAAGGTAGAAATGACATTATTTGGTAACTAACTGGATATGTAGAGTTAGGGAGAGTGAGGGAGAGTGAGGAACTGAGGATGATGCTGAATTTGAGAACCTGGGTTCCAGTTTTGTTTTGGACTGATTAGTTGTATAATCATGGGCAAGTATCTTTCCAAGACTTGTAAGTCACAAACAAGTAGCCCCTGAGGTAGAAGGAGTTCCTACATCAGAAATTCTCTACACCGAACACATTACAGGTCTGGACTCCAACTGTCAAGTGGTTGAAGGATACGAATAGGCAGTTTTCAAAGAAATGCAGACCTATCAACATATGAAATATGAAAGAATGCTCAAAATTACTAATTATAAAAAAAACCAACTCAAGGTTCTATCTCACATCTAACAAACTGGTAGATGAAAAAGATGAAAATGGCAATTATCAGAGGGGTTATGAGAGGAAAGGCACACTAATGCACTGTTGGTAGAGCTGTGAGTTAGTCTAGCCATCATGGAAAACAATCTGGAATTATACCCCCAAGATCACTAAATTGTACATTAGACTTTGGCCCCATGACACCATCATTGAATATATTACTTCCAAAAGGTCAAAGACAAAACAAAGGATGTTTGTATACAAAATATTTATAGTAACCTTTTTTGTTGAAACAAAGTACTAGAAACAAAATGGGTGTCCATCAATTGGGGAATGGCTAAACAAATTATGGATACACAGGTAATGGAAAATCACAGCATCTAAAAATTGCAAATAGGAAAGATTCAGAAAATTTTAGAGTTATATGAATTGGTGCATAGTGAAACGAAGAAGGAATTCAACTGCCAAAATGACTATAATAATATTAAAGAAAACAGCGTTGAAAGACCTCAGAATTCTAATCAACTCAGTAAACAATCCATTACTTCAAAAGACTGATAGTGAAAAATATCTCCCACCTCCTAGCAGAGAAAATAAACCAAAGTTATGGAATGAAAGACACATTTTCTGACATAGCTAATGTGCTGATTTGACTATAATATTTGTTACAAAGGAGAGCTCATATATGGGGAGAAAGAGGATGAGTTAGTGAGTAGTGAGAGGTATTTTTAAAAAACAATAAAGCATTAAAAAGATATACAGAAAGAAAGAAAGGAAGTTCAGGAGAGCACATAAACAGGACAATTTTATCTCTATCTTTTAAATGTGTATTACACACTTTAAAAAATCAAGCAATACAGAACAGAAATTCAGTTTCATATGGAATTCTCTTTTTATGTTCTCTGTACATTGAAATGTTTGTGTTTGTTGATGATTGTTAAGTTCATAATAATAAATCAAAATTTTAAAGAAATTACAAGTCTGGACCCCCTCAGAATTTGTGCATGCACACATCAATGTGAACATATATGCACAGAACACATTACCAATTCAAAATTCAGAGTACCAAAGGGACCATCAAATTGGAATTGAATCCATTTGTCATTTTTAGATAGACATAAGCTCGGTGACCTTGGGAAAATCATTTAACCCGCCTGCCTCAGTTTCCTCATCTGTAAAATGTATCTAATAATAGCACCTATTTCCCAGAGTTGTTGTAAGGATAAAATGAGATATTTTGAAGTGCTTTGCAAATCTTAAAGTGCTCTATAAATGCTATCATTATTATTGTTGCTGTTATTATTTTAGTTAGAAGACCTTTCAAGCATAATTTTCCAGTTAAAATGTTTGCCTTTAATATTTTCTTTTTTTATCGACATATTTTCTTTAGACTCAACAAATACTAACCTACAACCCACAGTACTGTAACTGAAAATAGTAAAGCAAAACTGCCTGGTTGTGTTAATGATTGATATGACAGAAACTACTTTTGTAGTTTACCAATTAACAGAAAAGATATGTCCTTTAACTCTGATAACATGGAATCAACACTGAACAATTTGACCTAAGTTTTGATGCATTTTTAGAGACATCTTTATTTAAATTGTTGGAATAATTGTGTATAACGTTCTTGTGTCACTGCCTTCTCCACTCTACCTGAGATTCTTTCAACAGACAATAGCAGAATGGTTAAAAAAAAACTTATTTATGTATTTTATGTATTTTAAAAAATTCACTCCTTTTATTTGCAAATAATCACCAGTATTCACAAATGACTTATTCATTCTTAAGAAACTAAATTCCAAGAAGCAAACAAGTAATATACACTTGGATTTTCAAAGAAGCTAATACAACGTATTCCTATTGTAAAGAAAATGGCAAAGTCCTATACAGTATCTGTCAATTAGACTACATCTTTCAACTTGACAATATTTTCACTTTCCCTTCTACAAACTAAAAAGCTAAGCTTCGAGCTGAGTTTTTCAGTAAACATTAAAAATGACATATTTTAATCAGGGAAAACTATTATTCCAAACTAAGTATGATGATGAGGCTTAGATTGCCAGAGGCAATTCTGGAATTAGCTTACTGGAGCAGGTGCTTCTGCTGGTTCTTTTCTTACCAATAAATCAATAATTAAAAAGAACGTATTCAGCAAGTTCTACTGTCACCTAAGGAGCCTTCTGATGTGGGTGCAAGAGGAGAGTAATAAAAGCTGGCTTGAAGCTTAACATCAAATAAACTATGATCTTGGCAACTGGTCCCATCACTTCCTGACAAACAGGGAGGAGAAATGGAAGTAGTGTCAGATTTTATATTCTCGAGTCAAAGCTCACTGCAGACAGTGACCGCAGCCATGAAATTAAAAGACACTTGCTCCTTGGAAGGAAAGCTATGGCAAATCAGGACAGGATACTAAAAAGCAGAAACATCAACTTGACGACAAAAATCCATGCAGTCAAACATGGTTTTTCCAGTAGTAAGGTATGACTGTGAGACTAGGGCTATAAAGAAAGCTGAGCACTGCAAAGCTGACACTTTGTGGGAGAAGACTTTTGAGAGTCCCTTGGACAGCAAACAGATCAAATCGGTCAATACTTAAAGAAATCAATTCAGACTATTCACTGGAAGGTCAAATACTGAATCGAAAGCTTAAATACTTTAGCCACATAAGGAGAAGACAGGACTCAGTGGAAAAGACCCTGATGTTGGGAAAGACTGAAGGCAAAAGGAGATTGGGATGGCAGAGGATGAGATGGATAGAGAGTGTCATGGAAGCAACAAACATGTCCAAGCAAGTCTGGACAAACTTTGGCAGACAGTGGAGGACAGAAGGGCCTGGGCTGCTATGGTCCACGAGGTCACAAAGAGTTGGACGCGAATGAACAGCTGAACAACAACAACAACGATGTGACCAATACGCAGCGAAAGATACTTTGGAGCGTACAAAACCCAAGACATGGCTCCAATCCTCCGTACTTTCATACTTCACGGATCTCTTAACAGCTTTGGCATGGCCACTCTCTACACCGATGAAGGCTGCAGCTCTTCTATAACTTAGTATATAATCTCTGAGAATTGTTATAGCTGGAAAATTAATCACCCTGAAACCAAGTTGGTGATCTGCCTCTCCAAACTTTGTTGGCAACAGAGGAAGTCTATAAGAATTAGCTTAAGCCAATAAGGAACAGCTAAGGTTGAGCCTAAGGTTAAGCTTTGGGAGAAAAAGGAGAATTAAAGACTTGCTTTGGGGTACACAGGACAAGGTTAACTGATGAGAGAGACAGCAGAACTGCTAGGTTCATATCACGTTTCTGTTTTTTCTGCCAAGAAAAATAACTTCTACATTAGAAATGACAGAACAAATATAACTAAAAGTAAGGATGACCAGATATCTTATTGTTCCTTCTCATTCTCCTTTTTTGGATCACCACCCATAACCGTGGCTCCACATTCTGGATATAACCAAAGGCTCTGGCTTGGGCCCTCTTTTCTCTCTAGAGACTCTCTCATTTGATGACTTCATCAGTTTCCATTAAATTATCAATACTCTGTGAATGACTTCCAGGTCCCTATTTTCAGCCCTAGTCTCTCACCTAAGCTTTAGTCCCACATCATTAACTGCCTAGTACACATTTCAAAATGGATGTCCCATAGATACCTCAAACTCAACAAGTCCCAAACTGAAATAATTTTTACCCCCAAACCTAGCCTTCTTCTAATATTTGTTTTTTTAAAAAATTGCTTAGCACAGTTCCTGACACGTAGTAGGTGCTATGCAAATGCTTATTCCCACTCCCCATCTCCATTCTGAACTTCATTTATTTCTGTTGATAATAATATCATTCTGCAATCACCAAGATCCAAAACCTCAGTGTCATCTTCAACTCCTGATAACTCACTCATTCCATCTATCCAGTCCATTGCTAAATCTTGTCACGTCCACCTCCACAGCATCTGCGGCATACAGCCCCTTCTCTCAACTTACACAGTCACCAGCCTAGTGCAGGCCTTTCTTACTTCTCACCTAGACTGCTCTAACATTCTTCTACTTGGTCTTCCTCCCTTAAGTCTCTACCCTTCTTTATCAATTTTTCACAAAAGTGGCAAAATGATTTTCCTAAAGCACAAATGTTTCTCAATAAACTCTAGTATTTCCCTAACTCCCAGGATCGAAATCCCCAGTGTATCACTTAAAGTCTTTTATATTTTGACCCCAACCTACCTTTACAGTCATATTGTATTCACGTCGTCCAGCACTGTCTCCCCACCTCTGAACCATTTATACTGACAGTCCTCCATGGTCAGATGCATTCACTCTCCTGTTTCCTTCAAAGGTCAGCTCAAAAGCCACTGTCCATAACACATCAGGACTCTCTTGATCTCCCCCCACCTCCTCCACCCCTACCCCTCAAGCCCTGCCCAGCTGCTTGTGTCATATCTGAAAACAAACATCCCCTTCAATCTGTCTTGTGTATCTCAAACCTACATACGTACATGTTTCCCCTGGACACACAAGGAGCTCCCAGAGGGCAGGGGCTGGTATCTTTGTGTCCTCGGCACCTACTATAGTGCCTGCTCTGCAGCAGGTGCTAAGTAAATGGTGGTTGATTATTTGTGTATGTGTTTTTTATGTACCTACTGTGCAAGCTGTCTCCCTCTTTGGAATGTAAGTTCTTTGGAGGGACAGTTTTACTTTAGTCTATATCTCTAGGCTTTGCATAGTGCTGGCACAGAGATGATGTTAAATAAAAACATGACTGTTGTTTGTTAGATGCCTCTAGAAAAGGGAAACTGAAAGACGGAAATATGACACTAGAACTCTAATAAGAAAATAGATGGAGAGATACATATGTGCAGATGCTTTGAAAACCATAAAGCATTATAAAAAGAGAGGGTATTATTATTACCTCATTTTTCTCATCTTTTTTTAAGTAGGGTTCAAATAGACACAGTCCTGGAGCAAGCTGCTATCCTGCTATGCTCCTTTTATACACAATGTTCTCTAGACGACTGCACAGATGTACAAAATAACTGTAACTGAATGGTTACGAGCATGTCAGCTCGCCCTCCGTAAGCTCACTCAAGCATCCTCAGTACAACTCTAGCAGTGGTAGCAGAATGGGCAACAGGAATGACAAGCACTTCACTCCATTATGACAGGATTTTGATCTCCTCTGCTAGGTCTTTAGATTTTGAAAGTCTTTTTGTTCCACGGAGCACTGAGATTATGAATATCCAATCTGTTACAAAAGCCTGTCGATTTCACCTTTGCAATATTTCCACCATACGCTGCCTCTCTCCTCTGAGACTGCCACCCCTCCAGTGCCAGCCCTCATCGCCTCACTCCTGCTGATGGGTCTGCCTGCCCCGATGTCTCCCCACTCCAATCCATCTCCCTCTCAGTCATCAAAGCAATGTCCCTAAAGCACAGGTCTGATCATGTCACCCCTGACTCAGTGAACTCCAGTAGCTCCCAATCACCTACAGGATCAAATACAAAATCCTCCTTGTGGTGTTCAAAGCCCTTCAAAATCCACCTTTCCAGTTTCTTACACCTTACTCCTCACTTTGTACTCTTCTATCCAGTGACACTGGCCTTCTGACTGTTCCCCAAACAAGAAACTCCTATCTCTCAGGTCCAGGTATTTTCTCTGGCTATCCCACGTACCTGGAATGCTCTCCTTCCTCATCTCCGCCCACTGGTTTCTCTGACTTCCTTCAAGTCCAAGCTTCTGAAGGATAGAGGCAGCTACGTTGGCACAGTGCATACAGGGCCAGGCCTGGCGTCAGGAAAACCTGAGTTCAAATATGGCCTCTGACAACTACTAGAATTGTGATCCTGGGCAAGTAATCTGACCTCTGTGCCTCAGTTTCCTCAACTGTACAACTGGGATCAAAATAGCACCTACCTCACAGGGTTGTCATGAAGATAAAATGAGATAATATTTGTAAAGCACTTAGCACAGTGCTTGGCACATGGTAGATGCTTAATAAATGCTTATTTCCTTCCTTGCTTGTGGCAAAGAACAACAAGGAGGCTATCGCAATAGTCCAGGAGAGAGATGATGAAGGTCTAAACTAATGGGGCGGATGCACAAATGGAGAGAAGGGAACCAATGAGAAAGGTTGTAAATGAAAAACCAAACAAGGCAGCTGATTGGATATGTAGGGTGAATGAGGAGCCATGATGACTCAAAAGCTATGAAGCTGGTATGGTGGCATCCTTGACAGAAAGATACAAAAAAGGTAGATTTGGGGGAAGAGGGAGGAAATGAATCTAGTTTTGGAAACACTGAATTTGAGATGCCTATGGCATCCATATGGCGATACAGATGTGGAGTTCCTGAGAGACAAGAGTTGAAGATAAAGATGATGGAATACCATAATCTAACATCTTAAAAGGTCACAAAGGCATAAATTTGAGTCTCTTAAATGAGTGCCCTTAGGAGAGATTCTCTTATCATACTCTTCCTGCAATTCCTTGAAACTGAAGGGAAAGACAAGAAAAAATGGAATACTCTTCTACTTTGAACAAGTATCAAAAGAGAAATTAAGCCACATATGTTTTTACTACTTTGAGTTCAGGTTTTGTTGTAACACGTTTTATAAGCAGCTGACAAGAAAAGATTAGAGGAAATGCATGTAGCTTGGCTGAGATAAAAGAAAAGCTATGCATGGGAAGAAATCTACAAATATTTCAGGAACAAAAGAGAAACAAGAGACAGTTGTAATGTGAAATCAAACATATAAGGTAATTATTTTAGGAAAGATTCTCAAAAATAGGAATTCATAAAAACAATATCTTAAGTAAATAAATACAAGTATTCAATTCAATAATTATTCCATATAATGATCAAAGAAAAATTTCTTATTACTTACCTGGCAAGTACCTTTTCTTATATGTGTCTAGTGGATAAGTATTTATAAAACTTACTTTAGACTAAAGCTTTTCCAAGGTTATAGATAATTAAGCTTATTTGATCACACAGGACTCTGAGGAAATATCATAAAAATAACCGAGGACAATTGAGGCAAACATTTACCTTAATCACTTAAAAGGGTATCTCCTAGATTACAGATTTTCTAAAACTTCTTACCTGTTCCAGAGCCTCTCCTTCATTTTGTTCACCTTTTAAGTTTCTTCCAGATATTAATTCCTCCCATGTGAACAGTAGTGAGTCTGTTACTTCACCAAATGGATTAAAATCAATTAGCCACACTTTGCCCTACATCAAAGAGAACATTGAGATACTAAAAGTTAATAAAGGACAAAGCTATATAGCACCTACTAAAGTCTATAATCTGCCTTAATTTGCAAAAGTCAAAGTAAATCAGAATGTCCTATTTTCATATACCTTTCTTCCCAAAAGAAACTTACCAAACATTATATTAACAATTATAAATGAATTTAAAGCAAAAGATGGCTTTAAAATATGTTAATGCTTTGTAAATAACTTCTCTCCTTTGGCTAAAAAAAGTTACATTTTGATGAAAGTTCATTTGACTAAATAAAAATGAATTAATGGTATAGTGGAAAAAGTATTGACTCTGTAGTCAGAAGCCCTAGGTTCAAATCCTCCTTGTAACGATGACACTGTAGCTTTAGGAAGTCACTTAACCTCCCTAAGCTGTAGTTTCCTCATCTTTAAAATGAAGGAGTTAGGATTAGATGGCTCCTGAGGCGCCTTTGATCTTTGACCATAGAAATCAAAGACAAGTATCATTTTTGATAGCAGTGTAAAAAAGAAGGGATCTTGAAAAACCATCTACATTTTTTCTTTCTTCGTCTTGCAACTAATGTTAAGTTTGAGGTTCAAACCCTAAAGGAAAAAAAGACCATCTCATAAGGAGGCCCAACCAAAGCATCATGATAAGAAGCAGTATCCAGAATGTCTTAGGGAGGGGCAGCTAGGTGGCGCAGTGGATAGAGCACTGGCCCTGGATTCAGGAGGACCTGCGTTCAAATCCGGCCTCAGACACATAACACTTACTAGCTGTGTGACCCTGGGGAAGTCACTTAACCCCACTAACAAAAAAAAAAAAAGGATGTCTTAGGGAAATCTGGCAGAAAGGAAAGTGGTTGTTTACTGGCAGGAAAGGGTTATCCACTTAACCAGCCTGCATCAAGTGGTCCTCCATAAGACCAAGAGTTTGCTAAAAGTGGGGATATTCCCCATAAAGGGAAGTGTGACAGTTTTGTTTGTCAACATATTTAGACAATGTATTTTGTTGACATGCTCCCAACAAAGAAAAATGGTTTTCACTGTGGTCTACTGGTGGCCCTGTGTTCTGGAGATACTCATTACCAAAAGGCCGGTTTCAGGGTGTGGGTCACATAAAGTAATGAATATTAGTATTTGAAGAACTGTGATCTGGGTGAGTAGAGGGAAAACCCATGGTCTTTAGATTGGTTTTGTATGATAAGATTTGTTATAGTCTAAAAGAAGGGAATAAAATAAAAGAGAAATAAAACCCTTCAAAAGGAAATGGCAGAATTCTCTGATTCTGAAAAAGACAGATTTCTGTCAGCAGACAGACAGCTAGCCTCAGAGGAGAAATATCTCTGAACTAGTCAGGCTAAAGAGAAGTTTAATTTGGGGTAAAAGATGTGTCAGTGAGAATAAGTAAGTATACAGAGAGCTGAGTACAAGCCCTGGGCACAATCCTAATAGAATATAGCTGAATATACTTCAGTACTCTGAAGGATATGTAATCTGGTGGCTGTAAGCATTCACTCTATCTGTGCAAATCAAAACCCATCTACATCCTCCATTCTGGGTGACTCTCCTTGGCCTACCAGAAATCCTCCAGGAGGTTTATCTAACACACTGACAATCTTGCTGTAAGCCTCTTACAATGTGTGAATACCAGTGCAGTCTGTCCATCCACTCCTTATTCTTGCAATGTGATCAGCTCACCTCCTTTATTGGTCATATAGCTCTGATATTTTGGGGTGCTTTTTATGTTTAATTCATTGCTGTTAATATGCTGCAAACTATTTGCGGATCCAAAGGTCTCTCTACTGTCCTTTGAATGACAGAGAATTGTGAATAAATCTGGAAAAGCCAATCAAAGAACTAGAGGTAACAAATATGTCATTTAGTAAAAGCTTTTTTTCTTTAGTATTATTTGTTTTATTTATGTTTTTGTTTTATTTATATATTTTTATTATTATTTTATTTGTATTTCTTATTAATTTAGCTAATTTTTCCTCAATTATTTATGTATAGAATTTTATATTGTGTTTATCAATAAACACTGGCCAGTCTTAACTATATTCTCCCTATATCCAATCATCTTTGAAAGCTTTAAATATTAGGTTGCTGAATTAGCTAACATATGTGGCAGAAACATGTTTGGATAAATCTCCTCAGAAAGAATAAAATGGTTTCACTAAAACTCTCTTCCAATACCAAAAGTGCTAACTAACATCATCATGGGTCCATGGATCAGGTTCTTATCACTGCTCCACTCCATCCACAAAAGGCATCCTCTGGTAAATCTATGCTTTTAACACACAATTTCTATATTCTCAGTGATGAAGACCTTTTTTAGAAGTTTGTCAATACTTAATTACGTAGAAAAATGTCAACCAGGGTTATCTGAGTTATTAGTAAAATGTCTTCCTTACACTTTGAGTATCAAATGTAAAAAAAACAAGTAGCAACCCGTGTAAAAAAGTAGCAAATGAAAACCCTGGGATATTTTCTAATCTCTATTCATTCTGCTTTATTACTTTTTCAAACCATTAAACAATCTCATTATAATCAACCATTCTCCCTGTTAACATAGGACTACTTAATTAGCTCAGTTAGTACTGAGATCTATAAACTGGAATATGTCACACTGCAAAAATAACTCCAGAAAATAAGTCAATCTAAATACCAAGGCTAGCATTGGACTGGTGGAGTTTGTTTCTTGGTTCAAAGGTCATAGTCTAGATTTAAAAAAAAAAAATGAACCAGTTTTAATCAAGCATAAAGATTTAAAGGTTAACTCTTTCAGCAATTTTATTTGACTAGAGCTTTAAAATACTTTCACATGGACTCTCTGGGCATAAAACACACTGGAAAACTGTCTTCTGGCAATCTATCTTATAATAGGATTAATCCTTTTTAAATAATGTTTTCATTACCTCACCCTCTACTCAATGTTACTCAAAAACTGAATGTCTCCAAATTCCTACCATCAAGTCTAAAATCCTCAAGTTGTTTTGAAAGCCCTCCATTATCTTTCCCCACCTTACCTACTGGAATTTACTCTCATTACTGTATAAAGTACAAGGTATAGACATTGCATAAAGTGAAAAATTATGCTGTACACATCACAATTGCTACAATAGTTCTGTGAAAAGGAAGGTAGTCAGTGCTAAGTAATCAGAAGCAGCATCATATGGCAATGAGATTTGGGCTAGGGCTTAAAGAATGAGTAGAATTAGAATAAATGGACAGAAGAGAAGGCCTTTTTCCCACTATTCCTCAAAATGTACCCCCTACTATAGACAGGCTAGAATTCTCAGTTTCATGAACACACCATATTATTATAACCTTTATGCCTTTGTTTATCTTATTCACATCTCTTTGAACACCCCCCTCTTTTCCCCTCCAACTGTCCCAAATCTACAAAATCTTCAGGTATCAAGTAAATCCCACTTGCCAAAGGGAAGCCTTCTCTGACTACTTAGCTCTGATCAATCTTCTCTTTTACAGAACTCCTATAATACCTATCTATGATAGCACAGAACCACTGTGCATTTTATGCAATGTTTCAAGCTGTTGAAGAATAGTTTTAAGAGTGTTAGCGTTATGGGTTCAACAACAACCATTTATTAAATATCCACTATACAGAAATCTCAATGTTAAGAATTGGAGGAGATAAACTATGAATTATCCCTTCATGGAACTCAAAACTTGGTGGGGAAGATATTACATGTACACAAGTAATAAAGGAGAACAAATTATGATAAGAGCATAAGAAAGGAAAAAGTATATCTGAATGGAGGGGAATAAGGAGAAGAGACAATTTAGCAAAAGCTTTATGGAAGAAGTGGCATTGAAGCTGGATCTTGAAAGATGGTTAGGAGAGTGGGGTGAAGAAAGCATTTCTACTTGAGGGTCCAGTAAAAATAAAGGCACGGAGGTGGAAGAACATGAACAAAGATGACCACGGCTGGGCCAATCTGGATGGAATGTATAGCATTTATGGAGCAGTGTGAATAAACCTGCAAGTAAGGTGTTATACCAAATCATGTGAAAAAGGCAATTGCAGAGAGGAAGAGACTAGTTAAGAAGGAGGCTTTTAGGATGCTATTCTATTACTCCAGCCAGGTGTTAATAATTTCCTGCACTAGGGTACTGGTCATGAGAATGAGGGAGATGTTCATGGTCATGAGCATGTGAGATATGCTGTGGAGAACTGACCACATTTGCCAGCTATCCAGATGTGAGAGGAAAGAGTCAAAGGGAATGAGTCTCAGGGATGAGAATGGAGCTGGAAATGAAGACTTTGAAGCCATCATAGATATGACAAATGAAACCATGCAAGTGGGTGAGTTCTCCAAGGATGATAAAGAGAGAATAAAAGAAAGCCAAAGATAGAGCCATGGAGAATACCCAAACTTTGAAAGTAGAGAAAGAAGAACCAGAAAAAAAGCAAAAGGGTTGATAAAAGAGTTAAGAGACAAACAAAGAGAGAGTACATTGTAAGACTTTACATTTATCTCTTCATCTTATGATAGTCAGCTCAACGGGCCAAGGTCACAAGTTCACAGAATCATTGAGATAGAGCTAGAAAGGACCTCATCATCTAATTCAACCTCTCATTCTACAGATGAAGAAACTGAAGCTTAGATAGGTTAACTCACTCTAGGTCACACATGTAGTAACCATCAGAAGAACTAAGGATATTTGGAGGAAAAAAAAGACTTAGGAGTAAGTAACATGACAGACATCTTCAAGTATCTGAAGGAATTTCAGATAGAAGAGGGATTTGACTTTTCTGCTTGGCCCCTGAGCAGAAAACTAGGAATGATGGGTGAAAGTAACAGAGGCAGATTTCAGATCATTATTAGAGATGCCTAATAATTACAGATGACTAAAAGTGGAACACACTGTCTAGGGAGGTAGTTGGTTCATTCAATGAGTAAGCATTTATTAAGCACCTACTGATGTATCACGGTATGTATCTGGGATATAGAGAAAATAACATAAATCCCTGCCTTAAGGAGCTTATATCTTATAGGGGGCAAAACAACATATAAACATGAATACAAAATATATGCAAATTAAATACTATTTTCAGACACACGGTCACACCCTTGCTCTTACTATAACACACAAGTGTTCCACACCTCCATGACGAAAAAGACTGAAATTCCTTTATCCAACCCAAACCTAGTATCATTCCATCTCCCCTTCAACTATTATCCTCTGTCTCTATTTTATAGCCAAACTCCCAGAAAAAGTCTCCAATTGTCTCACCTTCTTTGCTTCTCAACCCTTTATACTTCGGCTTCCTACCCACAACTCAACTGACCCTTCTCTGTCTGAAGCTACAAATGATTTCAACTGTTCATCTTCACTGCCTTTTCTCATTCTTCATTCTACTTGGCCTTTCTGAAGCTTTTAATCCTATCTTTTGGTTCTGTGCTTTGGATGTACTAGCTGCTTAACAGATACTTGATGAATTGAAGACCCCTCTTATACTGAATACTCTCTCCTCACTTAGCTTCCATGCCGTTTTTCTCTCTTAATTCTCATGGCTATCTGACCTCTCTTTCGTTGTTTTACCAACTAAGCATGGATGTCCATTAACACTCTGTCCTGGGTGATCTCTTCTTCCATCTCTACATACTTACCCTTCTCTATCCCTAAGCTTCAATTTGTCCCTTTCAATTGGTTCCTTTTTTACTATCTATAAATGCAGAGTCTTCTGCATCCTTAAAAAACTCTCAGCAGACCTTATTATCCCTTCAAGGTATTGACCTTTAACTTTCTTCAATTTCTAGGCCAAATTCCTAGAAAAAGCTGTTTACACTCACTGCCACCACTTCTTCTCACACTCAATTCTCAACCCATCTGGCTTCTAATTTCACTCAACATTGCTTTCTCCAGAGTTCCAATGATTTCTTAATTACAAATTCTAATGGCCTATCTATATAATTCTCTTCCTTCTTGACCTCTGGAGTATCTGACACTATTAATCATCCTCTTCTATTATATACTCTCTCCATTCTGGGTTTCTGTGACACTCAGCATTACTACCCCCCACTTTTTAGCTCCCCTTTAAGTACTGTCTTCCCCCTTTAGAATGTAAGGTCCTTGGGGGTAAGGGCTGTCTTGATTATTTATATTTATATTTATATTCATAAATAAATAAATATATTTATATTTATATTTATATACTCTTAGCACAGTGCCTAGCACACAGTAAATGCCTTATCAATCAAACTGATCCCTCTGATTGTCTAACCTAGTGTTGGGAACCTGAAGCCTTGAGGCCACATGTGCCCTTCTAGGTCTTTGGATACACCCTTTTGACTGAGTCCCAGTCTTACAGAACAAATCCTTTCATTAAGGGGATTTGTTCTATGAAGTTTGAATTCAGTGAAAGGGATTCAGTTGAGGACCTCGAGGGCCTTGAGGCAGCAGGTTCTCCATCCCTGATCTAACTGATTCTTCTCATTGTTCTTTACTGAATAATCATTCATATCATGCCCCCAACTGCAGGTGAGGCTCAAGGCTATCTCTCATCTGATGACTTCATCAGCTGCCACGGATTTAACTATCTCTATTCAAATGACTCTCAGGATCTGTATACCCTGCTCCAGTCTTTCTCCTGAACAACAGTCTTGCAACACCAACTGTCCAACATACATTTAGAATTGCAAGCCCAGTAGACATCTCCACCTCAACACATCCAAAACAAAACTCAAAGACCTATCCCTCTCCCAAACTTCCCTATTTCTATCGAGGGCACCATTATCCTTCTAGTCACCCAAGTTTACAACCTTGAGGCCACCCTTACCTCCTCATTCACTTGCACCCCATATATCCAGTCAGTTGCTAAACCTCAACTCTGGATTACTCCCACCATCTTCCTCCTATTCACATGCTATTGAAGAGAGCTGGAGAAAAACCATGAAACCATCCTGCCTGGATCCACTACTAATTTATGTTTCCTAATCTCACTGTATCAAAGTTACACTTCTACTTCTTCCTAACCTGATTAACTATCTCATTCTCCAAGCAGTTGTTCCAAATCTTTCTCATCCCAATGATTATGAATCCTCATTGGTTATCTTTCAAACCTTCTTCCCCATCCCCCACTGCCTGATCTTTTATTCTTATTTTCCTCAAACCTTCACCACAGTCCCACCCCAAAGCTACCCACTCTTTCCACTGCTCTCTGGAATGTTTGCTCCATAGGCATTTGATGCCTATTTGAGGTGCTTTCATCTCAAATCTTTGCTCTTCCCACTTCTTCCAACTTCTGGCTTTCATTGAGACCTAGCTTCCTCCAAACAAATGATACAGCCTCTCCAGCTACCCTTTCCACTACTGGCTGCACTTTCACTACTCATTCCCTTCAACTCACAGGCTGAAATAAGGGAACTGGAACACTCTTTACTCCCCATGGCCATTTCCAGGTTGTTCCTCTATTACAATCACTCAGTAAATTTTCCTCCTTTTAGGTTAATTCAACCCATATCCCCCATCTAATTAAAATTCTGGCAGTTGTTATCTATTAACTGCAAGACCCTCCCCTTCTTTTCTCAGTAAGTTCAGGACCTGGCTCACACTTGGTCTCTTCTCTCTAACTCCTGCCTTCATATTAGGGGATTTCAACACCTTAACTTTCCACTTCTCTAACTTACTCATTTCATATGACCTCCTTCTCCACCTGACCCCATCCAAACACATATATAGTTATCCTCTTGATCATCACCCAAAAATGTACCACTTCCATGTTCACAAACTCTTACATTACCTTGTCTGATCACAACCTATTGTCATTCTACCTTTCTCTCTCTGCCTTCCAACCCCAAAACCTGTTCTTTGTCTGGACAGTGACCTCTAACCCCACAACTCTTCAGTTCTCTCCTAGATCATTATCTCTTAATTCTCCTCTTTCCCCATCTTGACCCCTTGATGAACCACTTCAAATCTACAATGTGCTCGAATCCCTTGTCCCCTTAACAAATTGCCAATCTTGCCCTACCAAAACTAAGCCTTGATCACTCCTTTCATCCACTGCCTTTTCTCCTATGCACATGTGGCTGAACAAAAGTGAGGAAAATTATGAAACCCTGCTATCTGGGCCCACTACAAATTTCTCTAATGTAACCTCAACTGGGTGCTCATTGCTGCTAGGCAATCTTTTTACACCTCCCTAATTCACTCACCATCCCACCCACTAGCCTCCTAACTCCTGACTCCAATATCCCCTATTCAATTGCCAAAGTGATTTTTCTAAAATGTGAAGAAAAAAAAAAATGTGGCATTCCTAAAAGACAGTCCTGACCACGACAATCTTTTTACTCAATAAACTGCAATGGCTCCCACTCCCATTACCTCCAGGATCAAAATAAAGTTCTCTATTTGATACTTAAAGATCTTTCGAACCTGGTTCCTTCCTGCCTTTCCAATCTTCTTACACTTTATTCCCTTACATGTACTCTACAATTCAGCTTTACTGGCCTCCTTACCATTCTGTGCACACTACACATCTCCTGTGTCTCCATACCACCTTGGAGATGACATTTTTTTCTGATCCCCCAGCTACGAGTTCCTCCCCACCCCTGAAAATATCTTGTACTTATTTTGTATGTACCTATATGTATATATGGCATCACCCCCAATAAAAATGTAAGCTCCTTGAGGGCAGTACCTGTCTCCTCATCACCTAGCACAGTGTCCTACACATAGTAAGCATTTAAGAAATAGTTATGGATTGATTGTATGGATGCTTATCATGACATGACATCACTGCATAAAGTCTAACTTAAATGCCTGTGAAGAGATTTTATGACTTAAAATTGAAATCACCATCATAGGAATTAAAAAAACAAAGTGGGTTATTTTTCCATTTAAAAGTTTTGCACACTGGACATTGCATTATCACATGATAGATGTGAGATACAACTCCTCTCAGTGCAGATGCTCAGAGACAGCTGTTGCCATGGACAATAACAAAGGGGTTCTTTGGCTGAGGTTAATTCACAGAAGACTAAAAAGCAAGGTTAACAGGGCAAGTCCCTGCCTTACCATCTCTTCTGAGTATAAAAAGAGGAACCTATTGACAGAATATTAAGTGGAGAATATTCAAAGAACTCTTTCCCAAACTGACCTATAGTTTCTTTTGCATAAAAACCAGCAGCCTCACCAATTCCTGTCTCCACCCTGCCCTTCCCCTGGCTCCTGCCCTTGGTCCTCAGCCCCCCACTCTGGCCCCTGGCTTTTGTTGATCTTGGTTTTAATACTGATCCCTGATCCAGATACCACTTTCTGTCACTGGCCCTTTATCTCCATGCCTTCATATCTTGGCCTTTAAAAGTAATACTCTACAGGACTTTTTTTATCTGAAGCATTCTTTCTTTGACTCCCCAAACTAGCAAGGCCTCAATCAGAAAGACAGAAAGTCCTTATCCATAGTCCATGATGGGACCCAGGAAGCATAATATAATCTCTATCTTACTTGCTTAATTTAAAATTAATCTAAAGGTATAAATAACTCAAATTATGCTAAGAATATGCTTTATTTAACTGAAAACAAAATATAAGTTTCATCCTGGAAAAAAAGGCTTAATGATTCCTATCTGTTTAAATATTATTTACCTTGTTGAGCATATTTTCAGGTACATCAAACTATGTTAAACAGGATCAGATCTCTTAACAAAATTGTGAGGTAAGCAAAGAAAGACACCTCTTAGTCAGGTGTTAAACTAATTCTTACTAAGATGTTCAATGATAATGGCTTTTTGTATTATGAGACTCCTGAAAAATGAAGAGCTTTAAGACCCACAAAAATGAAAGTCTAATAGTGATATTTCAAGCACTGTGGCAGATTGGTGAGGGAGATACTTTGAGATGGTAGTTTTTTTGTCCAAAATACATAACTATCTACTTAGAAGGATAATCTTGATTCCAAATTATACCAAACTATTAACTTACCATACTATCTCGGTATACATCAAATACAACTGTAAAAAAAGAAATAGTCCAAATTAATTTTTATAAATGATACAATTTAAAGAAATACAGTCATGTTTAAATGGTAAAAAATTACATTTAAAACCAAACATGCTTTAAACATTATTCAACCAAATGGTGCAAAAATTCCTTAGTTTTAAGAACAAGAAAAAATTTCTTACTTCAAAATCTTAAAACTAAGTATTATAAGAGCCAAAAAATACATCATTGTTATGATCATGCTATTTCTTTCTTTCTAACATTTTCATTTATCAGACTTCTGAATTAAAGTTTCATGGAACACATTAATTTCATAATATCCAATTTGTCTATACACAGGTTACAGGGAGGATTCCAGTTTGATACTAAGGCAACAGTACTCTTGGAATAGGTATCCATTTATTTGAATGGGGAGTGATATGAGTAATATCTGGAGGTGGAAAAAATACACTCTACCCATGCCCAGGGAATGATTAATGCAATTTATCATTACAGCTCTAGCAGAGAAACTTACTTTGGCAAGTAGAGAAAATCTGAGCAAATACAATATTGATGAACATAAGAAAAATGTATTCTTTGATTCTCAAATACTTACATTATTAATTTAAAATGACAAATTGATGCTTAGTAAAGCTCTCCATCTGATTATGTAATTTCAAATATTATTTAAAAGATGGGTATTTAGTAGCATCAACACAACCAATCTACCTTGCCTTCTTTAAATAAATTAATATATATTAGTTATATATTATGAAATATACAAGGTATTCCAAAAGTCTTAGTGCAGCTTTAAGCTATTAAAGCTTATTTAAGTTATTAAAGCTTAAAACTTCACTTTTGGGACACTGTATAATAAAAATTTTATCATGATAGGAGAAATACAAATTATGTAAAAAAAAAAGGCCTAAATTATAATAATTAAAGTACAAATAGGCCATCAGAAACACTAAAAAGGAATGAAATATTTGATATGAAGGTAATCTCCATCTACTCTTGTTTTGATAGTTAGGGATTTGGGGGAAGTATATATACATTGGTAAGTAAAAGGTGAGGAGGTTTTCAATACAGTGGTTTGACATGAATGCCACGTATAAACTTCAGAAGTTGAATTTAAGGTATCTGGGCAGAGGGAATGGTCTAGACAGGAATAAGATACTTCAGTTCCCACTCACTAGTCTTCGAGCAAAGGATGGAGGATGACTTGTTGGGTATGTTGTAAAAGGGATTCTTAAGTGGGTATTGGTACTACTAGGTGGCTTCTGAGCTTTCTTCTAAATTTGAGAGTCTATGACAGCGCAAGCACCCTAAATCACATGATGAAATAGTTTTATAACAGGCTAATAAGTAAAACATATCTTTCCATTGTGAAAATAACAAATACTCACAGTCTTCATCTAAGAATTTATATTGTATGTGTTTCTTGAAAAAATCCTGTATGGATCTACAGATCTCTTCATTTTGTTTAGAAATGTGATCATAGTATTGTGTATAATCTCTCTGGGATATACCTGCCAAGAAAATATTTGATATATCATAATATTCTTTTCAAATAAAATTTCATGAATCTTATATATTGATTCCTACAGGTGAATCCTATAATTTTACTTTTGAAAACATTTTATCTTCATAGTAAAATATTAAGATAAAAACATTATTTCTACTTAGTATCTCTAGGAAAAATTCAGTTACAAAAATGATGCTTACTATCAAAATTTTAAACATCAAATTTTCAAATTTTACTTTTATGAATTGTACTTTCAAACATTTAGTAAGTATTTATCAAGTGACTGTTATATTAAGGCACTGTGGAAAATATTAAGAATAGGACTCGGTATCTTCAAGGAATTTAAATTCTACTTGGAAAAAATAACCTGGATGTAGGCAAGTAAACAGAAGACAGAAGATGTTACATCCAAATAACAATAACACAAGAAGAGAGGTATATAAAGCACAAGGGAAAGAGATGCCATATGACTTAGATTTTGAAAGATGGGTAAAAATCAGAGAGATAATTCTAAGTAGATAAAAAAATGGAGAGAAAGAAAAAAAACCATTCTAGGTAAAGGGACCTATCCAGAGAACAGCAAGTAATATAATTGGCAGAAGTCTAGGTACCTAAAAGCAAGCTGAAGATGATAAAGTCAGAAAAGGAGAATAGGGACAAACTGTAAAGATCCTTGAATGCCAGGGAAAGAATGCTGGACAGCGTTGGTAATGGGGAACCACTGAAAGTTTCTGAGTAAGGAAATGACGTCCGTCAGAATTTCTTCGATTCTTCATTGAACTATGTGAAAAATTAAAATAGTCTTTCCTCTTTCTTCATGGGAAAGATTTTAATCTTTCTCTTTGTATTTCATAATATATTTCAAAACTCTGTCATTTCTTCTTTGCCATACCTTCCCATCTTTATGATTCAGCTCTCTTAAGTAAAGGAATACCAAACATTCCTGAGTTTTTTTCTTGCTCTTTTTCTTTTAATGTTTGGAGTTTTGTTTTTTTTTTTACTGAAAACTACAACACAGCTATATGCAACAAGATATAAATGCAGCTAAAAGGTTTTAATTATAAAACATATACAAGGATATACCAAAAGTCTTAAAGCTTTAATAGCTTAAAACTGCACTAAAACTTTTGGGTCACATGATATTCGATATTTTTTTTCCTAATCACTCTATTCCAACATGAATTTTATTTTCTTGCCCTAAAATTTATTTTTCACATCCAATATAACTTCATCTTAAATTTCTCATTTCTTCCTTTTAGGGATTTCTTCCTTTAAAATACCTTTCCAAATTTTCTTCATGCATGTGGTAGTCTTTTTTTTCCCCTTTTAAAAAGATATTAAAGCTTTTTTCCTGCCTTTATACCATTATTACTTCCCAGTGGCCACCCCTTGACCATAAAGAGAAGTCTGATAGGTAACAAAGGATAGCTAAGCAAAATAAACCACAACATTTATCATGCCTGAATAGCATGTGCTTCATTCTACACCGATACTTTCTGCAGAGGTGGGGTAGATATGTTTCTCCGTCAGTGTTCTAGAGCTCATTCACACACTGAAGGAGGGAGGGTTAATTCCTTCTCATTCTCTTGGTGCTGCTTCACAGTCATCTTCCAAAATTTCTCTGATTCCTCAATGCCCATCATTCCTTACAGTGTAACAGCATACTCTCTTATACTAACATACTGCAATTTGTTCAGCCCTTCCCCAAAATGCACTGGCGAGTAACCAGGGGCACAACTTAACATGCTAAAGGTGAAATAAAATGACTGTGCTCCTCAATCTTTCAACAATAAGCAGAGTACTTTGTGTTAGAAGTTCTGGATTTAAATACTTGCTTTTCGAAGACTGAAAAATAAACCTCATTGTCTTATTTAATTGCATTCATGCTGAAGTCAATACAGTCATGACAAATACTATGTAAAATTAAAGGTATTATGATGAATATCAACATATGGTTCCAAAAAAGTTTTAAAAAAAAACCACATACTGGTGATATACGACCCTAACCAAATTCTACATAACTCTTACCCAGGGTCACACAGCTAGTAAGTGTCTGAGGCCAGATTTGAACTCACTTTAAAGATATTATCTCAATCAAGTCTCAGCTATAGTTATTATTCTCAATTTCACAGATAAGGAAACTGAAGCTCAAAGAGATGAAATGATTTGTCTAACCTCATACAACTAGTGTCAGAGATGAGATTTGAAACAAAGACTTCCTGTTTAGCATGCTAAACCCCCCTATCTAGCACTTAACAAATTTCTTCACAACCTGGCTCTTTCCAAACTTCATACATATTATTCTGCTCCACTCACTGTGTGATCCAGGCATACTGGCCAACTCACTATTCTGCACCCACATCTTATCTCCAGTCTTGGGCATCTACACTGGCAGCCCCTGATTTCCTCCAAGACTCAGTTCAAGTTAGGGGTTAGGATTGGAACTGTGATTTCATTGGTACAGAGAACTCTCAGGTAAGGAAGCTCCCTCCAGCAGGTAGGTTGGCATTCTCTCCAGCATTCAGAGTCTTAGAGAGTTGCCCAGAACACTGAGAGGCTAAATGACTTGCCTGGGGTCACAGAGCCAGACCAGATTTGAACCTAAGGTCTTCCTGGTTTTCAAAGCCAGCTCTCTGTCCACTACACCACATTTCCTCTCGTGCCTTTTTCCAAATCACTGATAAAAATGTTCCACTATGGAGATCCTTGGGGCACTCCACAAGGGTCCTTCTTTCCATCAAACCACTGATGACGACTCTCTAGGTCTGGCCACTTCTCCAGCTCCAAATAAAGAAAACTGTACTCCTATCTAGCCCACATCTCTCCAACTTTTTCCACAAGAACAGCTTGGGACTTTGTGAAATGCTCTGCTAAAATATAGGTATTCCTCTGATCTGGAAGTTCAGTAACCTTATAAAAAAAAAAAAAAGAAAGAAACAAAGTCGGCCTGGTATGACATATTCTTGATGAAGTCAAGTTGGCTCTTTATGGTCACCACTCCTTTTCTAGATGTTCACAATCAATTTGTTGTTGTTCAGTCATTTTTCAGTCATGTCTGATTCTTTGTGACCCTATTTGGGGTTCCTGACAAAAATACTAGCGTGGTTTGCCATTTCCATCTCCAGTTCATTTCACAGATGAGAAAATGGAGGAAAACAGGGTTAAATGACTTGTCTGGAGTCACATAGCTAGTGTCGCAGGCCAGATTTGAACCCAGAGAGATGAGTCATCCTGCCTGAAGTCAGGAGTCGATCTATCCACTCACTGTACCACCGAACTGCCCAAACAATATGTCTGCTAAAAAATTACATGTCAAGCTCACTTAAACCTGCAGTCTGTAAAACCTGTTAACCTATGGAGAAAGTCTCTCCCATTCTTCACTTGAACATTCAAAGAACATTAAAGAACACTGAAAGCTGCCTAACAGTCATTTAAGGTAATTCTTTCATTACCCTGGGATGAAATCCTTCTGAGCCTATGATTGTAAACTCACCAAGGTCAAGGAAGCATTTTCTAAACATCTCCCTACTTTATTTTGCATTATGACTTGCTATTAGCCATATTTATTCTGTCCTTTCCAATCTAAAAGATACTCAGAAAACACAAGAAAAATAAAAAGATAAATTAAAGGAAGAACTATATACAGCTAAAAGTCTTGGATGGAAAGAATGCAAGAGATGATGTAAAAGAATAAAAAATAACACAGGGATTTGAAAGTATTAATAAATGTAATGCAAAGCAGCACTAATTCAGTAGAAAACAGAACAAACTCAGAAATTATTTCTGATGGGAAAAGACTGTGAAACAATTCAATCACAGTGATAACTCTGAAGGGTAATTCAAAGAAGAAAGCAAAGAAATAATAAAGAAAAATATCCAATCACTATATTAAAAGAAAATGTCATAGAACTACCACATAATTTATTTAATATTTCAATATATAATTTATGTTATATATAATAATAATTTATATCATATAATTATATATTTTATATTTAGAAGGAATTCAGAGAAGCACAAGAAGAAACCCCAAATCAGATTCATCTAGGCATACCATCATCAACCTTTTAAACTACAATGACAAATAAATCCTTTCAAGACTAAAAAGATATCACTTATCTATCAAAAACATAAACCAGAGTCTCATGAGATTTTATTTTTCATTCCCAAAATTCTTTTAAAAAATAGAATATAAGACTACACCTTTAGGGTCCCAAAAAATCAACAGTATAAAAGCATTATTTGGGAAACCTTATTTAATAGGAGTTATGAAAGACTTTGACAATCTTATAAAAGAGACTTAGGGGGGTATTGGTTGGCTACCAGTTCAGTGTAAATCAGTGTCACGATATGGATGCCCAAACAATCTTAACATAAATAAATTAGATGAAAGTATAAAATAAGGCAAATCCATGGTTATTTGTGTTGGTCAGACAACATCTGGGATCTTAATAACAACAGCTAATATTTAAAAAGTAACTTAAGGTTTGCAAAGCATTTATATACATGCTAACACTTGAACCTCAAAATAAACCTGATATAAGTAGTTTTCTTTTTTTTAAATTTATTTTGATTTATCAAAAATCACTTCCATAAGCTTTTGAGTTTTAATATTTTTCTCCCCCCTCCCCTTTCCCCGCCTCCCTTCCCAAGATGGTACGCAATCTGATATGTTATACATATACATTCCTATTAAACATATTTTCACATTAGTGATGTTGTAAAGAAGAATTAGAACCAAGAGGAGGAACCACCAGAAAGGGAAAACAAAACAAAACAGAAGGAAAAAAATAGCAAATAGTATGCTTCGATCTGCATTCAAACTCCACAATTCTTTCTTTGGATGTGGATAGCATTTTCCAGTGAGATAAGTATTAAAAGTACTATTATCACCACCATTCTGGTCTATACTTTTGATTTTATCCAAGGCAGCAGTCACAGTAGACAGAGTACCTAGAGTAAGGAAGACCTGAGTTCAGATCCAGCTTCACTAGATACTAACTATGTAACCCTACACAAATCATTTATGTTTTGTTTGCCTCAGTTTCCCCACCTATGAGATGGGGATAACAACAGCACATATCGCTCAGGGTTGCTGTAAGGCTCAAACGAGTAATAACTGTAAAGCACTTAGCATGATACCTGGCATGCTGTAGGTGCTATATAAATGTTAACTATTATTATGTAGGGAACTCCTAGGGTAAAAACGCTTTCCATTAATGCAGAACAGCAATTGGTCTGTAACTAATAATCTTAGAAAATATTTAATGTCAGAGGCTAAATTTGAATCCAGTACTCTTTCTACTATACCACACTGAGCAATGTGTCTGATTCTGGGTCCTATATTTTAAGAGGTCACTGATAAACTGAAACAAGTTTGGCATGCTGAAAGAAACTATGTCTGGAAACCATGGTGTGAAAAACAGTAAGAACTGACAGTTAATCCTTGACAAGAAACCTGGCAATAAAGTACTTCTTTTTTTCATCATACATTTATTAAGCACACACTGTATGCTTGAGGGGTTTGAGGAGGCATTTCTAAAGTAAAGTATGAACTATTTTACTGTACATTTGTCACAAACACATTGCTTTTGGACTTTTGAAAGGTTAACCTCATCTCTTATTCAATTAGATTTTCAGCAGGATGAAAATTACTAAATGGAATATCAAAAATAACATAAAGTAGGCTAACAAACATGGGTGATTTGTACTCTTCCATTATTTAACCATAGAAGAATATCCCAGATAAGAATAATATGCCTGTGTTTGAACTAATTAAAAATTTAAATAGTGAACTTTTCTGATATCTTTTATGACACTAGGGAAAAACATATCTGTTAGAGCCCTCAACTGCATTGCCTTCAGCAAAATAGGAAGGGAACTGATTATTTAAACACAAAGTTAACTCTTTGTGCGAAGCAAATTCATCATTGCAGTCAATGGTCAGCCCCTCCATGGTGTTTTCCCTGACCCTGATCTTGCTAGACCAACCATTCCTTTGGCCATATTGTTATCCTGGAAGTTGATAACATTGTTCTTCCTAGCACCCTGAACCTCAAAGGCAGTGTGGTACAATGGACAGAATACTGGACTTAGAGGCAAGAGAGCCAGGAGTTAGAATCCCAACCTGGATATTAGTTGTGTGACATTGGACAAAAGATTTAACCTCTCTGAGCCTCAATTTTGTCATCTCGATTGTTCTAAAGATTATCACAGGATTGTTATAAAGAAATCATTTTGCAAATTTTAAAGTACCACATAATTGTCAACTAACAGTTGCTGCTGTTTTTGTTGTTCTTCAAATATGTGAAGGACTGTCAAGGTGAAAAGGGATTATACTTTTCCTCTCATGAGGGTGGAACTAGGACCAATGCGTATCTTCAGATTTTATCAGTTTTTGTTTTTGCCACATCATACTGTTGTCTCACTGAGTTTTCAGGATTGCTATCACAGAGCAAACTAGTACAAATGGATGAAAGTTTATGCTCAAAACAAGAAGCAACTACCTGAGATGCCAAAATATGGAACAGACTTTTGATAAGGACAGTGAGTTCTCTACCATAGGGGGCTCTAAGCAGAGGCCTACTTGTCGAGGATGTTGTAGAAGGGACTCGAGTTTTGAACAGATATTGGATTTGACTATCCATGAGGTCCTTCCAATTCTGAGATTCTAAGAATCTAAGTTACAGGGAGACAGGTTTCAAGTGATATAAGAAATATTTTTAAACCATTAGAGTTGTCCAAAAATGCAATGTGCTCAACAAAAGCAACTGAGCTAAAATTAGAAGGGAAACAGATAACTGGGAGAAAAAAATCTTTGCAGCAAGTTTCTAATAAGCCTCTCATTCCCAAAATAAATAAGGAACTTATTAAAATTGGCAAGAGTAATGGTCAAAGAATATGAAGCAACAATTTTCTAATTAAAAAATAAAATAAAACCTAGATATCAATAGCCACAAGAAAAAATTCTATAAATCATTAATAACCAGAGAAATGCAAATTAAAGCAACTCTGAAGTTCCACCTCACACCAATAATACACTGACAAAGCTGACAAAAAAGGAAAATGACAAATTTTAGAGAAGCTCCTGGGAAGTGGGCATATTAATGTACAGTCGGTGAAGCTCTGAATTGCTCCAGCCATTTTAGAAAATAATTTGAAACTATGACCCAAAAGTATTAAAGTGCACATCACCTGACCCAGGAATACCACTACTAGGCCTATCCTGCAATGAGATCCAACAAAGAGGAAAAGGACCTATGTGTACAAAAGCATTTTTATTTTTATTCCTCTCCAGGAGTCATTCCTGAATCTCCAGACTCTTTCCACCATGCCTCAGCAGCCTCTTCACCCTGAAAGTTCACTCTGCCTCTAGCCTTTTCATGCTCAAAGCACACTCTGTTCCTGTAGCCCCTTCTTTAACCAATATTTTAAGGAAAGTGTCCAGGCCAGTCATATCTTCATTCTTTTCCAGGCCCTATTCCTGATTCTCTGGACCTTCTACATCATGCCCCAGCTCAAGTACCTTTCTTAGACTTTTTAGAAGGGAATGCCTCAAAATTCTTTAATTACTTACAATCATAATTCCCCTAACTCCAAAATTCTACAGTTACTTATAACTTATTCCACAAAAAATTTGGTTTTTTTAAAAGTAATTTTATAAACAAAATAAAAAAAGATTCTCACCAATAAGCTTATTTTCCTTGACAAAACACCTGAATTCAGCCCCAGGAATTAATTCGCACCATTTTCGAAGAACAAGCTGCCAAGAGAAGAAAAATATATTATTACCATATAAGCAGGAAAGGCTAAGAGGAATGAGAAATGTTTACCTTAACATGAACACATTGAGGGTCAGAGAGTGGTATTACCAGAGGTATCATGTGATGTATAGGATAGTATTATGGTCTTTTCATACGACTAGGGACTTGACCAGTGAGTTCACTGATACAGGGAACTCCCAGATCAGGAAACTCCCGCTACCAATGCAGCCTGGTACCTTTTCTGCAATTTTAATACACAGAATTGCTGAGGGCATGGTAGGATTAAATGACTTGTCCTGGGCCATAAAGCCAATCAATATGTGCCAGAGGTAGGATTTGAACGCTGGTCCTCCTGGCTCCAAGGTCAGCTCTCTGCCCAGCACATCACACTGTCAGATCATTTAGTAAAAAGGGAAAAAAATTACTGAAACTTTATGACAAATGTTATCTTCTAATTTATAATTTTGAATGTGCCTATACATTATGTAATATGCAAAAATGCCCCCCCCAAAGATCACAAATGGAAAACATTTTCTCCACAATAATTCATGCTCCCTCACCTCAAAACAGATGAAAACAGTTTACAGCTAGCTCTACCTCAAACACTGTAGCTATGGTGCTTATTATGAACTAACTTTTATGGTTTGATACTAAAAGATTAGAAAGGCAACAATAAAATACTACTAGGAGCTTGCCTACACATAGAAATGGATAGAAAACAGATGCTCACCAAATGGGGGACAGCTAAACAAATTCTGGTACACATGTTACCGTACTATAAGAAATTATGAATATGATAAATATGGGGAAATGTGAGAAGACTTACAAGAACAGAAGCAATGCGAAGTAAGCAGAACCAGGAAAACAATGTACAGAATGACACCACCACCACCACAAATGGAAAGAACAAAAAAAAAAAAAAACAACTGAATTGAATGCTATAGCATTATAAGAAACAAGCTTGGCCCCCAAAGAGAAATACCTCCCCTCCCACCCCAGCTTCTGGCCAGGGGGTGGGGAGAAGGGCTAATGTAAGACATTTTCACTATTTTGGATATTTTGCTTAACAGTTTTTCTTTTTTATTCTTTGTTGTAAAGGATGGCTCTCTGAAATGGAAAGTAGCAGGGATAAATTGGGAAATATAGATGATATAAAAATAAAAGATACCAATGAAAATTTATTTTTTTAAAAAGGAAAAAAAATTATCTTACATAAGACTCAAATGGTAACACAAAAAGAAACCTCATTCTCCTGCTCTGATATTGAATAACTGTATCATCATGAGTGAGTCACTTAATCTTTCTAAGCCCCAATATGTTCATTTCTAAACTGGGGAGAATATCTCTAAGCACCAACTTCACAGAGTTGCTGTAAGTTTTAAGTAAAATGACACAGATAAAATGTTTTGAAAACCTTAATGTGTTATGCAAATATAAGCTGTTATTATTATTATAATGCATTAATGTGAACTTTGGAATGGAGTTTGGAGGATGCAAAAAATAAGTCAACATTTGTAATAATCCTTTTTCCATCTTCCAGTTTTGTGACTAGAATATTGTCTAAAATACACTAATCTGTATAAAAGTAAAGTCATGATGATTAGCAAGACACCATGACAGCTACGTAGTCAGTCTTCATTGATAAAGGTCTTTGGAATGATACAGAAATTATATTTAGGCAAACAGCTGGCAAATAAAATAGCAGTAAGTCATGAGACCACAATGTCAGAGAAGCTGTTCATTTCCATCAAACTTATACCAAAAATAATAATATAATGATACCTAAATATTTCAATCATGATTTTAATAGTGTATGCATTACCCTTCCAATGGTATGAAGCTTAGTCTTCAGGAGTTGCTACAGCTGGAAAATTCACCAATCTTTGACTAACCTGCAGATGAGCCCCTCCAAACTTAGACAAAAGACTACAATGAGCTATGTCAGTGGGCCTAATATAAACAGATAAAACTTTACAAGGAAATAAATGTAAATTGTCTCATACTTGAGCTTTATAAGCATAAGATGAGGAAAGTATGGCTAGAAAAGTTTATCTGAAAAAGATCTGGGAGCTTTAGGGGATGACAAGGTCAGTATGAGTCACCAATGTGATCATGCAGCCAGAAAAGCTAATGTGATCCTAGGCTGCACTAAGAAAGGCAATGTCTTCAGAAGGAGATGATAACTGTATTCTGCCCTGGTTGGATCACATCTACAGACCTGAGTTCAGTTTTGGATTCCACATATTAGGGAAGACATTGCAAAGCAGTAGCACATCCAGAAGGAAGAGACCCAGGAGGGCAAGAGTGCTGCTGGTCACCATGACATCTAAGGAATCGCTGAAGGAAGTTAGTATGGATTTTAAAAATAGTTACTGATGTCTCAGACGGGATGGGATAACTGGCTTTAAGTATTTTGAAGGATATTATATGGAAGAAAAATTAGGTTTGTTCTTTTAGGCCCAAGGGGCTAAAATTTAAAGTAGATGGTGAAAGTTTAAGAGGTAGATTTAGTCTCGAAGCATTAAAAATTAAGAGCTTTTCAAAAGTAGAATGGCATCGGTTTCTCCCTAACTAAATGCCTTCAACCAGAGGCTGAATGGCTATTATTTGTCAGAGATGCTGTAGATTACTGTTCAGGAAGACCTAATCCTTTCCAAATCAGATTCTGTAATTCTTCATTTAACCAATGTTTACTGAGTCCTTACTATACATCTGGTACATTCTAGGTACTGTAGGAGGTACAAGATAAGATATGAGGTCCTTATTCTCAATGAGTTTATAATTTAAAAGATAGCAAAAGAATGAAACCTTTTCCTACTCAAAAACAAAACAAACCCAATCTTTAGTTTTTAAAGTTCTGACAATTAAAATTAAAAGTACTCATATGCTCAAATGGACCTGTGATCTTTATGATTTGGAAGTTCTCTCCAATAAATTCAATAAAAGTTCACCACAGAGGATCCACCAAATATGCTAGAAATCCTCCTTGCTTTCTCTTGACATCACAAAGGTACCAGTGAAGCACCCTGGTGCCTATCATCCCTTGCTCTTGTCACATGATTAGCCCATTTTCTCTCCTCATCATATAATTATGTGACAATGTCTTTTACTCCAGTTGTTCTTCAAAGTTCCTCACTGATTATAAGTTACAGCCTGCTCATACCCACCATGTGCGTTTTCATTTCTGTGAAAATCATCTTTAATTCTCTGGAGATTTTGGTATTCCATGTTTTGCTGTCTTGGAACACCACCAGTAAAATGATGGTATTTTTAAAAAATGGGCCTTCATTTTCATGGAAAGTTTAGGGATGTTAAGGGAGCTTTGCAATTTTCCAAAGGCAATTCATCCTATTCTCCTATTCAACTCTAGGACTAATATGGTGTCTATCCGTACCATCTATCCCAGATGTGCAAACTGATAGACAAGCTCAATAAGTTTTTCTTTGAAATACAAGCTTTAATCTGGGCAAAAAATATTCATCCCCTGGGTCTTTACCAATGGTCAGCCAAACTCTTCTTGAATGCTCACAGTTCTCTTTCAAAAGGCTCAGTAACATTCCAGGCTTTAACATAATCAGCACAAAGGCATCTGTGAACATAAACATCTAGAGATGTTTATCATCTGCAGGGAATGTTTCTTCAACCTGGACTCTGCTGCATCTCCTCTATTATAGTGATGAAAAGCTTTGGCACAGATACATCCCTCTATTTTATATTTCACCTGTTGTTTATGATCAGATGGTTGTCAAACAAGGTTGTTTTTGTTACAGTTCTCAAAAAAAATCTTGAGTAACTTTAATATATGAATGAGAGATATCTTGTTGAAAAAACCTATCCGACAACATTTTGCCCTACCAGATCAAATTTTTTTTCATAATCAATAATTAATAAGCATTTTGGGATCTTACATTTGCTACACTTTTCAGTTAGATGTGAAAATAGTAAAGATGTTATCTATCATTAAATATTGTTTATAAAAGCCCACTTGTTCCCTATTAACACCCTTATCAAGTATGCCCTCAATTCATGCAGTAAGATGACTCTCATAAAGATTTTGTATAAATGGGAGGATATGCATATAGGCCAGTAGTTAATGATATTCTCTTGGTCACTTTTTTTCAGTAGTACTGAGCTCCAAGATTTTTTTACATATCTTTAAAAGCTTCCCTTCCCTCAACTACCTTGAACAGCTAATCCCTCATACCCCTCACAATTGTGTCACCTTTAGGTTGCATATACATAGTCCAATCAGGCTGCTTTTCCCATCTTTGTTCTCTTTAATGCCATTTCTATCTAATTTCTATCTAATGCCATCAAAAGTAAACACTGTGAGGCTATGGTTCAAGTGTACTGGTTTCACTGTGTTAGAGAAAAAAATCTGTTACAATGATTTTTGCATTTTTTCCCTATTTGTTGTCCTCCTTCCAATTTCAACCTTAAATGCCCTTAGGATGGTTTTGCCTGTCTTAACAAGCTTTCTTTAAATTGGTTTTACCCTCCATTGCTTTTTCCTGCTTTATGAGACAAGAATGGCAATTATTTATTTAAATTACTCTAGATGGAATAACTCAGTTTTAGTTATATGCCATATATTTTTGTCATCATTATTATTATTTTTTAATTTTATACTTTTTAATCAGCAAAAATCCTTCTCTTCCATCCCCTTTTCCACTAAAAAATAAAGAAAAACAAAACTATTACAAACATGTATAGTAAAGCAAAATTAATTTTCCCATTAGCCTTGTCAAAAAAAAAATCAGCCTTGTTCTTCACTCTTCAGTCTCCTATCTCTCAGGAGGTGGGAAACATGTCTCATCATTATTTCTCTAGATTTGTAAGTGGTCATTATAATTATCAGAGTTCCTAAGTCTTTCCAAGTTGTTTGTCTTTACATTAATGTCATTGTATAAATTGTTCTCTTGTTTCTTTTCACTTCACTGCATCAGGTTTCTCTAAAACCGTCCCCTTTATCATTTCTTACAGCACAATAGTATTCCATCACATTTATATACTGTAATTTGTCCAGCCATTCCCCAGTTAATGGGTACAACTTCAGCTTCAAATTATTTGCCACTGAAAAAAAGAGTTCTGCGTCTTTTTGTACATTCTTATTTAGTGTCTTAATTGGGACTAATCCCTCCGTTTATCTACCCTCTCTCTAATTTTCCACTCTCCCCTCAACTCTCCTCATTCCTTTCTATTTCCCTATGGAGTGAAATGTATGAATGTACGAGTGAAATGTACCTAATTTTGTGTGTATTCTTTGCCTCTCTTACCAGTTTGGATGAGGATAAGGTTCAGGTGTCAGCCCCCTCCTTTACCCGTCCCCTCCTTGTTTACACAGACTTCTACTTGAATAGCCTAATTATATGAGGCAGATTTCTCTAACCTTTCTCTCCCTTTCCTCCCCTAATGTATTCTTCTTCCTTTCTATTCTTCTTTTAAGATCAAGATAAAATAGAACCACTCCCATGCCTTCTGTCTAATTAGAGTCACTCTATGAACTCAGATGTCAGAGGGGACCCTTATTGATATAAGGGTCCCCTCCTTATGTTAGAATGTAAGTAGTTTATCCTGGTTTAGTTCATTATGAATTTTCATACTTATCTTCTTATGTTTCTCTTGACTGCTGTGTTTGCACATCAAAGCTTCTCTGTAGCTCTGTTCTTTTCATCAGGAATGCTTGAAAGTTTTCTATTTCATTAATGATCCATATTTCCCCCCTGGTGGCATTGCACTCAGTTTTGCTGGTTAAGTTATTCTTAGCTATAAGCCTATATTCTTTGCCTTCCAAAGTACCATATTCTAAGCTCTTGGCTACTTTATAGTGTTGGATGCTAAACTGTTTGGAATCGTGATTGTGGCTACTCAGTACCTGAATTTTTGCCTTCTGGCTGCTTACAGTATTTTTTTCTTTAACCCAGAAGCTCTGGATTTTGGCTATAATATTCCTGGGAGTTTTCATTTTGGGGTTTCGTTCAGGTGGTGGTCAGTGGATTCTTTCTATTTCCACTTTGCTCTCTGGGTCTAAGAGAGCTGAGCAATTTTCTTTTAAGATTTCTTGAAATATGATGCCTAAGTTTTTTTTACAGTCATAGCATTCAGGTGATTCTTATGATTCTTAATTTATTTTCTCCTCAACCTATTTTCTAGGTCAGTTGTTTTTCTTAAAAGATAACTTATAACTGAATACAGGGAAACTATTTCACCTTTATGAGTCACATACTCCTCATGTGTAAAATTGGGATAATAACACTCATCTTATTTGGTTGTTATGAGAATACTATGAAATAATGGGTGTGAAAGAACTTGGCATATCATAAAAAAAGATGAGTTTACAAAAAAAAGATAACTTACATTTTCTTCTATTTTTTTCAGTCTTTTTGACTTTGTTTTACTATTTCTTCTGTCTCATGGAGTCATTAGCTCCTATTTGGTCCATTATAATTTTTAAAGCATGTATTGCTTAGGCAAGAGTTTGTACCTCTTATTAATTCACTTTTCAATTCATTTTTCCATAACTTTCACTTCCTTTCCAACTTTTTTCTTTAGTGCTCTCATTTCACTTATAAAAACATCCTTAAACTCTTGCTTCATTTCTTAAGATTTTGTGCCCAAACTGTTTTTCTCTGAGACTTTGCTTGTAGATGTTTTGGAATCATACTTTTCTTGTTGGCTTCTGTCTTAAGCATTCCTGTCATCAAAATAGCTTTTTATAATGATACTTTTTTTGCTTATTCCAGCCCACTTCCTGATTTTGTATTTTATTATTTTTTATTATTATTATTTTATTATTTTTTTCAGGGTCAAGCTCTGCACACTTCTGGGGTAACAGTGGGAATTAATGTTGCTTTTGTGGGGTACTGAGAGTTCCGTCATTTCAGGATCAAAGGAACAGTTCAGCACTGAGACCCACAAACTTTCAGAGCTCACATCTGATCCAGGGCAAAGTCCAATCACTCCACCCCACCCCCACCTCCAGGTTGAGCTCTCAACATTTCTGACCTGGATTTTGGTTTCTGAGCAACAAGCCTATTTGGAGTTCTAGTAGAATGTTGCTGGACTCAGCCACTGCTACCCAGTAGGAAAGTTCCACTGGCTCAGAGAACCCGCCCTGATTATTTCACTGAAGATGGCAGACTGGCCTAGAAAGCTAGAACTGAGACCCTACCCTACCTGCTACTTGCCTCAGAACTTGCTCTTCTTTAGGTATCCAACCCAGAGCCTGTGACTGTTCCTTAGCCTGGAATGCCATCTGTAGGCCCTGCCCTAAAGGGAAGTCTGCCCTGAATCTGTGACCCAAAAATAAGTAACCAGTGATAGACCTGACAGCTGGTACCCATTTCTACACTATGCACAAGTATAAGCTGCTCTGTGCTGGATTTGGAACCTTCTCTTGCCCTATGTACAAAGCCCTTCACGGTGTTAGAATACTACTCATCAAGTTCCTGATCAAACTCTCTTCCCCATGTCCACAGACCTCCCTACTCTCTATCTCCACATGTCAACACTGGCTGGAAAAAAAACTCAGTGTGATTTTTTTTCTTGGATTTTCCAATTAGGATTTGTCAGGTGCAATTTCTAGATGTGCTTGGAGATGGTTTTCTGTGGGGACGTGGGGGTGGGAAGGAGGAGTTGTACCTGTTCTTGCTGTTCTGCCATTTTGCTCTGTCTTTTTCTTCTTGTTTTTACTCCTTCAGATTCTAGATCTAGCAAGTCAAAGGTCTAACTATAGACATGAAGGTGGCTCAATGATAACTCCTACATCAATAACAATTCTTGTTTGTTAAAATGTAGTCTATTTCATCTTCTGTAATGTTACTTGGTGCTCATCATGTTATATCTAGCACCCACCAACTCTTCTCAAAAAAAATGTTCATGATATAAAGGTGTGTAATCTGCAGTGTAATCTATGAGAAAGACTGATTCAGGAAAAAGAAATAAAACTGACCAAAATCTTGTAGATTACACTGAAAATAAAATGTCTTTTAAAAATAATTGTTACATTTTTCAAATGTGCTTTGGAGAATATTCATTCTGATTTTAATGCATTAGATAATATAGCACAATAATAAATAATATATTCAAAGGAAAAATAAGTTACCTAATTTTAAAATATAAAAAATATCAGGTCACAGAAGTTCCTATTTATCAGTAACTGACAACGATCATATAAATAGCATTTCCAAAGTTCTTAATATATAGCTGAATAACAAAAATCCTTAAAGCCTAGATTATAAATCTTATAGTTGGTGCAGTGATAAGGCACTGGGCCTAGTGTCAGGAAGACCTGGGTTTAAATCCAAATTCAGACACTTACTAACTGTGTGAATGTGGGCAAGTCACTTAACTTCTGCCTGCCTCAGTTTCCTCATCTAGGAAATAGGGATAAAAATAGCACCTCCCTCTCAGGGTTACTGTGGGAATAAATGAGATAATATTTTTAAAACACTTAGCACAGTGCCTGGGATACAGTAGGTATTATATAAATGCTAGTTATCATTGTTATTATTACTGCTGTTATTATTTCAGTTCTTATGTTCCAACAAGATGCTGCCATATTTCTGACCAAGCTTAAGAAAGAAACATGCTAGCAAAATCTCAACAATATAATGTCTTATTAAAACTTGGAAGATGAATGAGGAAATCAGTAAAAAATACAAAGTACCTTTCATCATCGTAAGTTGCACTGATTAAAAGCCTTTACCATTTAATAGTTGTTTAATGGCCCAGTAAACAATGATACAGTTCTGAATTATAGGCCTTATTTGCCCAATCTAATAAGAAGACATACTAATATGGAAACTTTTACCAGTTAAAAAAAAAGCTGAAGTTATTGGTATAATTAGTATCTTGTTTTGTGTGTAGTTGTGTGGTTTGTCCTTTTGTTCTCGAAGAAGACCATGACATCAAGGAGATGATGACATGACTTGCAACTGACTTTGATTTGAGGGAGGGAGGGCTGTGCAAGGTCACCAGCCTCTCCTCCAGAGCCACCTGGGTCCAACTGGAGATGGCTCAGGATGCAATGGGAGACCCTGGCCCTTTTAAACCAAGGTCTTTTCAAGTTTTCAAGGTAATGCTCATTCACTGAATAGGCCTCTTTAAGAAGTGAGTCAAGGGATGGTACCTTTAATTAAAAAAAAAAAATCAAACTGGGAGAGGAAGACCCTCAAGGATTGCTGGTCAAAAGAGAAACAGTTACTATTTGCATTCACTCTGAGCCAGGAAAGCCCAAAAAATAACCATTAAGTGGTGCTTGGGCAGGGATCTATTGTTGTCCAATCTATGAGCTCCAGAGGGAATTGGGTTTAAGGCTTGGTCTTTGAGAAAGAAATCTAGCCAGTAAACCCCAAGTTAACTAGGCAGCTTCCAGCCATCAAAATTTACCTTTCTTGGGGCAGAACACCCTCAGGTTAGTATCTATAAAATATCAGTAAAACCATAAAATATTAGTATCTATATCTTATTAGTGTATTCATTTGATCAAATTCTTTAATCATGATCATAAAAGAAAGATGTAGGATGATAAATCTGAGGTGTCACATTGATAAAAGACACACTGTTTTATATAACAATGAGGAGGATAATACAATTGTTAGACAAGTGGATGCTAAAAACCATACTCCTTAATAACAGCTCTAGAAGAGACTAAAGAGCACATGGATAAGTAGAGTTCTAAGTTCTCATCTCTTAAAAAAGAAAGGCATAGAATTTTACTTTTCATGTAAGAATAAATAACACTACTTACATATCTAAGTCTGGACTAGTCAAACCACTTCGACAAATTCAACTCAACAAACATTTATTCAGTATTTACTAAGTACCAGACACTGGTGTATCAAGAAAAAAGAAGGCTTTCCTTACCTCATATTCCATACAAGGATCTGGGGAATCATCAGTACAGTGAATAAACCTTTAAAAGAAAAGTATTTCTACTTTATTTTACTTGCTGCCACTTTATATAAACTGACATACTAAATTTATCATTTAAAAGATTAATATTTTGTTGAAATATTAATAAAATTTAATGAGAAATCTGATTGGACACAAGAATATAACTCAAAACAATTACCATTCTATATGAGGCACAATTTTTAAAAAAGACAACCATATATACATATATATAGTTTTTTATTATATCAATTATGCTATGATTTTCTTTGTGAGGGAAACTTACTCATTTAGTAATAATTGTAATGAGCATAAGGAGATGATATTTATAATGATAGTATACAGTGAATCAAAGAATCTTAAGATTTGGAAGGAACTGATAGGTCACACAATTTAAGTTCATACAGGAATGATCTCTTTAATACCTACAAAATATAGCCATTTAATCTTTGCCCGAACAAATTCTAGTGATTCAAACCTTACTATGTGACAATGAACTGTATTCCATTTTAGTATAGGGGTAGTTCTTAGATGCATCTTACTTTCTTAGAAGCATACTGACCTGCTTCAAGACCTGTGGCCTACAATCTCATGAGTGAACAGTGTGATGTGTCAACCAAAAAAAAACTGCTATGATGTGGGGCTGTACTAAGAGAAGCAGAGCTTCCAGAAACAGGAAGCTGAAGTCTCTCACCTCATCTATAGTACAGTGTTTAGTTCTGGGTGTGACAGTTTAAAAAGGAAATTGACAAAAACTAGAGTGTTCAAAGGAAGGAAGCCAGAACAGCAGGGCCTTAAGTCTGTATCACATGAGGATGAGGTGAAAGAAGTGGACAGGATAGATCAGCATGGAGAAGTGAAGGTTCAAGAGGAAAATGACAGTTGTCTTCAAGTATCTGAAAGGCTGATGCGTGGAAAGAGGATTTTCCTCATTCTTAGCCCCAGAGGGCAGAATCAGAAGCAAATGGTAGAAGCTCCCATTAGGAAATTTAGGCTTGATGTCAGCCAATAATTAGAAAGTGGCTGCCACCCAATAAGGGCTTAATAAATGTTTAATGACTATCCAAAAGTGCAAAGGGCTTCAAGAAGTGGTGGGCTGCCCCTCTTTAAAGGTCTTTAAGCAGACCTTCAAGCAGTCACTTGTGAGGAATGTTGCAATAGACAGTCCTTTCACATATGGATTAAACTAAAGGGTTGCTGAGGTTCCTTCCAATTCTCAAATTCTGCAATACTGTGATTTTATTGGGCTGAAGTGTACTTCCCTATCACTCCCAAGCATTTGGTTCTGGTTCTACCTTCTGAAGTTGAAAAAAAAAAGTTTCACATCTTTCTCATGCAGCTATTACATAACTATAAAATGAGAGGGTTGGATTAATGATGCTTAAGGTCCCTTTGAGCCCTAAAGCTATGGTTCCATGAGCCTCAAAAGAGCAACCAATACTGGAATGGAAATTACTGGTCATCTGTCTCTTAAAATTAGCATTTAAATTATGGAAAAGAAAGGAAATCTATACTAAAAAGAAGACAGAATAGATGATCTACTATGTCATAGGCTTATAGAATCACAATCAGCAAGGTGGTACAGTGGATAGAGTTCTGGATATGGAGTCAGGAAGACCTGGATTCAAATACTGCCTCAAGATACTTACTAGCTGCATGATCCTAGGAAACTCACTTAAGTTCTGTCTGCTTCAGTAGCACCTACTTGCCAGGGTTATTGTTGTGAGGATCAAATGAGATAACAAGTAAAGTACTTTACAAAACCTTAAGGCAATGTGTAAATGCTAGTTTATTGTTATCACTATTATCATATTCTCATAATTATTATCATTATTATAATTAATGAAAGCTGGAAGGGACCTTAGGAGTCATCTAATTCAATCCCTTCATTTTATTAATAAGGAAATTATCTACCAGAGAAGTTAAGTTATCCAACCAAGGTCACACAACATTGATATTTATTCCTTTTGTTTTTATGTCCAGTTGAACAAAGAATAATGTGAAAACCCATTACAAGTTAAAAAACCCCAAATCATCACACAACTTAAAGTTACAAAGGCTTACATAAATTAATTTAAAACTAAGAACAGCAGCATAAAAATAACATCTTTCACAATGTTTTGCTAACACTTTCAATAGTGATAATCACACTGAAAAGTTTAAATACCACTTAGCTATTTAGAGCACTTATCAGTAGGGATGAAGTACTTAAACCAATTTTTGATTTGATACTATCACTACGAAACCTGGGTAATTGTTAGTGGTTTCCTAAAGATCTGATTCAAGCTGCAGATTTATAAGCTTTCCTTACAAACCTGGAAAACTCCACATAACATCTTCAGTATAATTGCTAAAAAAAAAAAAAAAAAGTTTGTTCATCCATTTGTTTACCTAAGCAATTTAGGCATTCCCTGGCAGAGGGGGAAATTATCTCCCTGTAAAATGCCTAGGGGAAAAGTTTCCTACCTAATGTTTCCCTCTGGTACTTTCAAGGCTTGGTCTGGTAAATCAGAATTAACCAGCAAGCATTTAATAAATTCCTATTTTGTGCCAAAGTACTATGGAGAAGCAGACAGAAAGCAAGCCTTAAAACCCAGAAGAAATGGGCTCAAGTCATGCCTCTGACACCTATTGGCCATGTGAATCTGAGCAAGAAATGTTACCTTTCAATGCTCTAAGCCATTCTCTAAGAGGAGATGCTAGAAGTCCCCATGCCAAAGAAATCAGAGACCCAGTCCCTACCTATCCTTACTATGTGTCGGGCACTGTGCTAGTTGCTGCACATATAAAGGCAAACAGAAAAGCATCCTTGCCCTCAAGGAGCTTACATTGTATTGGGAGAGACAAATAGATACAAAGCAACTGTGGAAAGCAGGCTGGGTGATAAGGAAAAGTTTCACATAAAAGTGGCCAACAGAAGTAAGTCTTGAAGGACACCAGGGATTCTAAGCAACAAATGTGAGGAGGGAGCACATTGAGGCTGTGGAAAAGAAGCACTGCAAAGGCCTGGAGATGGAAGATGAACTGCTATATATGAGAAGCAGCAAGAAGATCAGTATGGCTACTGTATGGGAAAGTATGTGAAGAAGTATAATGTGTAATGAAGCTGGGAAGACATTAAACACCAATTAAAGTAAATGACAGGCTAATAAACGTCAAATTTTCAACTGTAAACAAAATTTGATAGTTTCCACAAGTCATAAGTTTCCAATAGACTATTTTAGAGCTCATAAGTTATTAGTGGTAGAAAAATCCAAGGGGAATAAAACCATATATGTAACAGGATTTTCTTAAATAAAGAACCTACCAAAATAGTTTCTGGTTCATCAAAAGAAAAATATGAGTTCTTAACAGTGTTTGTGCTACAACCTGGTATTTTAGTGGGTAAATGTTATTTAATCCTGTTCATATTTTGTTCACAAAAAAGAAAGCCTAGCAGACTTTACAATGCTTCCAGCATAAGATACATAAAAGATACAATAAACTGACTTTCAAAGTACAGGTGAGAAAGCTGCATTATTTACTGATCATAAAAACACTGGTATAAGATGTTTTATAATGCAATGGCAATGGACAAAAAAAAACAAACAATAAATCTATGTTCAACTCTTATAAGCAATGGTGCTCAGCTTAAGGGAAATGGACAAAATAGGAATGGTTCAATTTCTACTCCTATAAACTAAAATAGTAAAATTCAGCTTTAGTCTCAAAAAGGCAAGGAAAAACTTTAAACACAAATTGCAGCAAAGTCTCAAAAGCACATGTTGAAAAGAACCTGAACAGCCATCCTTGAGACTTGTTATGTGGCATCTCTGCAAGCAGCATTTGCAACAAATGGCTGTATCTCCCATAATTGCCTTGCTGAGCCACACTGCTCCCCAGAAAGGCTAGGATTATAACTGCCTCACATTAAAAGGTAATCAAGTGGATAGCCAATGGGAAGGGGGAAAGAAAGAAAAAGATCAATATTCTTTCCAAAAGAGAAAGTTTTTAATTTCATTTGAAGACTTCTGCCAACTTTGACACACAAGCATAAATAACAACAAATATTCAATAGATATTTAATTGCATTATCATTAGATAATAAGCTCTCCATAGAATAAACAACTGAAGGACAGGAAATGAGAAATATTGAAGAAATCTCCAGAGCCTCATACAATGACTTAAAGCTATTTGGTATTTCATAAATGCATGCTGAATTGAATATAGATTTGTACATGGGGAGAAAAAGGCCAGTAAAAATAGTTTCCAAATAAGAAATGGTTTAAACCTATTTGGTAGCCTTAAGCAAATAATCTGTATAAGATCCATTAGTTTAAAAGTCTAGAAAACCCTTTTTCCAAATTATAAACTCAAGGACAGCTAGATGGCGCAGTGGATAGAGCACCGGCCCTGAAGTCAGGAAGACCTAAGTTCAAATCTGGTCTCAGACCAAACACCTGACACTTACTAGCTGTGTGTCCTTGGGCAAGTCACTTAAGCCCAACTGCCTTTAAAAAAACAAACAAACAAACCAAATTATAAACTCAAGGTTCTTGGCAAGATTATTGTATTTCATCTAGCCTGTTATTAACTCTCCAAAAAAGTAACAAAACTATGACTAGATAATGTTATATAATATATAGGGTAAATGCAAATGGAAAAATATACAAATACAGATACAAATACAGCAAACCTACAATACAATACACTAGGAATACAAAGCTTATACTACTCAAATCTGTTTAAAAATAGGACAAAAAATTGTGGAAGGTGGGAAGATAGTGTCTGTTGTCAATTTAAAAAAAAACAACAACAAAGGACGACTTTGATGACAATTTCTATGAAAAACCGTGAGCAATACTAGAAATTATCCAACTAACTAGAATTTAGGGAAACGATGTAATTTGTTCATGATTTGTTGGGAACAAGACTTTGCCCAAAAGCAGAAAAGAGGTATACATTATCAGTTGATACTTATTAACTACAAGGCATTCATAAATCCTTTTCTTTTTTCTTTCATTTCTACCTGGCCGACTTCCC